ATATACATACATGTTTATACATTTTGCATTTAACTATTACCAAAAATGACTCAGCACACAGCAATCCCCCCCAATGAAGACAAAAATAAGATTTTGGTTTCCCTTTGTCTATCCGCCAACCCCCACCCCCCACCTCGCTCCCACAAAAGACGTAATACACACAGAGATGACTTGCAACGAGGACGTGTAATTGCAAAATACCATGGAGTGAGCAAAAATCCTCATTCAATTAATATTCCTCAATTCCATAAAACAGTATACAGTACATTCAGCAAATGATTTGCAAAAGTGTCCGCAATGCCGCATAATCCTGTTTTGATTTTTATATTTTAAAATTTTTAAATAAATGCACCTTTTATTAAAAAAAGACAGTTGCATCGATTATTTTGAAGTTTTATTCTTGAACTTTTGAGTGCAAAAGCCACAGAGAAGGAAGAGGCAAATCAAGGAGGGGAGGTTATGCAGAAATTACACACGTCCAGGCCCAAATGAGAAATTATTTTATTGCCTGAATACAGTTAATTTTCAAAAACATTTTATTTCCATTGTTCAGTGGTGTGCAGCTATTGCCCTTGGGAATGATGCAATCCAAAAGGACTGGTAGAAATTCCTGATATTCTTTTAAAAAATTACTTCCAAGCCCTGAAGTAGAAAGGAATACCAATAGAAAAAAGTGCTATTTAGATTGTTAGTTAGAGCAGTCTAAAAGGAAGGAAGAGTTACTATGGAGCAAGGGTTCCAAGTGCTTTGTCACAGGAATTTCAATTTGGAAATGGCACACAATTTAAGTTAACCCAGAATTAAATGCTCTTGTCGCAAAGTCCTCTACAGACAAGAGAAGTAAAACATCCTCTTCTGATAGGCAGATAATGGGATTCAGGACTGGTCAGGCCAGATCTAACTCTAGTTTGGGTGGCTTAATTCAACTCCAGCTCTTTAGCTGGAGGTCACCTCATGTCCACATTGGTTCTCAGATGGTCCAACACAAGACCAAAAACCATGACCCAAATCTGGTCCACTGCTCATTTGTGTACACATAGGCAAAACTTGTATGTTGGGTAAAGAAGACTTCAAAGCACCCCTGAGAGTGAGGAAGTACGTTTTTCTAGGAAGAGAAAAAGAAGATAAACAGCAACACAGAATTTACACATTCCCATTTCTAGTGTTGTCAGAAAACTGTGTCCCTGGCCACTTGTTCTTCTAAAGCACCTCCTTGTGGTGAAAAGGGGATAATACAACGGGGAAATCATTTCTGATGGGACTGCTAAATAAATACACCAAATTATATGCTGGGTAACACAGTTTTCAATATAGTTCACCAATCCGGAAGGTGAACCAGATTGGTGGGATTTATATTCCAATAGAACAGAAATTAAGAAATGTGACATGAAGTGGGTAACGTAAGGCATTACGTTGTGATCTTACACACTCTGAATTGTTGGATTTTTCTTTAAGATTCCTAATCCTAAATTTAAACAGCTGGTATGGACCCAGCCATGCTGCCTGTTGGGTTCGACAACTTGAGAGTCCCACAAGGTGATTTTTCCACACTCTGGATATAAGTGATTATTATTTTTGACATTACACAGCTGCTGGAGAAGAAGAGCAAAGCAGCCAGCACAGGAGGGTGCTAAACACACACTGCTGTGCTCCTCCAGGGAATACATAAGGTCAACTCTCCTGAGCTCAGCATGCCCACCAAATTCCTACTGGTATTTACAAACTCTGAACCAACGATAGGGCCCAGCACAGCAAAGGATGATTTGCAAGGCCACAAGGATCAAGTTCAGGACAGCAGGGGAAAGACTTCTGATTCAGGAGCGAAGCACAAGCTTTGCATTGCATTCATCTCTGCAAGATTCAGTCCTGGAAAGTTGTAGACCAGTGTCATTTAGATATGGCAGATTATAACACCATGGTGACTGAGGATAGTGGGATTTACAGTCCAACATATTAGACAGCACCCAAGTTAGGGAATGCCGGTGGAGATATAATGCTGGCTTTATGGACCAGTAGTCTGACTTAGCAGAAGACATCTTCCTTTATTTTGATCAATGAAACATGTCATTTATAAAGCATATACTTTCACATGTGTGTAACTCAGACTCTCCAGATATTGTTGGATTGCAACACCTACAAATTCTAGCTGAGGCAGCCATAGGCGAAGAGCAATAGGTGATGCAATCTGATAAGATCTGGAAGGTCCCATTCTTCCTTTCACTGGTGATAGGAAAGGTCTGTCTCTGAGGAAGCCCTATGGACAACAGGTACCCTACAATGGTCATGTATAGGAATGTGATGCAGGAGCCCATCTATTCAGTCATGTCATTCCCTTTTTACCTGGAGGTTACTTTAAAATAAGTGGCCAACTCCGCTGGTTCTGGAGCCAACATACTCCCCTTGGGAGCCACTGCTGCAGCGTTGCTACAATTCAGGAGCAAACAAGAAAAGGCCATTTAACAGTTCAAACGGGGCGTTCCCAGTTTGCCATTTAGAGAAGCACTTTAAAGCATCGGGTTGCTGTGAGTTTTCTGGGCTGTATGGCCATGTTCCAGAAGCATTCTCTCCTAATGCTTCGCCCACATCTATGGCAGGCATCTTCAGAGGTTGTGAGGACCTCTGAGGATACCTGTCATAGATGTGGGCAAAACGTCAGGAGAGAATACTTCTGGAACATGACCATACAGCCCAGAAAACTCATAGCAACCCAGTAATTCTGGCCATTAAAGTTTTTGAAAACACTTTAAAGCATGTCTTTTTGTTGGCTTTTAGCAGTTCAATTCTGATTTTTGTGTGTGTGTGTGGGAGAGACAATGCCTGACTAAGAGTGCCAATTCATTATACCAATAAAAATTGAATTTTATCAGACTTCAAGATGGGCAACTTTTCCCCCAAAGAAAATTTACCTGGCAGTTTTTTTCTTGATCTTTCCATGTATAGTTATTTCCTTTTTATCCCGCATTAACTTACCAGAAGCAAAATACTCTTTTGAGGAGAAAATGCTTTCCCCCCTCAGGCCCAGAAATAAAAGTTGGCCTCCACATAACCATGAACAATTCCTATCTCATTCAATAGCCTTGTCAATTTCATTCTCTTCCTCTTCTGATGCCTCCCCCACGATAAAGCCCAAATTACTCTGTAAAATTGCTGTAGAGTGCTCTCTAAAACAGCAGAAACACTCATGGAGCTGCCTGAATCTCGTTTAAATATGTATCAACATCATTCCAAATGGTTCAGTCCTACCTTTCCCAGGTAGAATGCATTCAAGCACTATGACCAGCATTATTTTGTTTGATGTGAGAAATGTGCAGTTACTGTTTATCAAATTTGATGACATATGCTTCTTTTGTATATCTATGAAACTATGCGTTCTTGCAGTAGAACTTTTCCACCCACCATTATTTGTAATATATGAAATACAAATGGGCAGCAACTGGATGTACGCTTGAAATTACAATCCTAAATATATATACATTTATGAAAAGGTGAGATTTAGTTTGAAATAGAGATGGGGTTGAAAAAGACCTATCATCCTCACTGCTACCCGAAACCTCTTTTAAATACACTGGAAGTATTGGATTACTCAAGATGAAATATAGACATTTGGTTAGGATTATTTTGGGAGAAATAATCCCCTGGGGCTGCCATTCTTTCCCAATAACTCAGAATAACCTGAAATTCACGAAACCAAGTCGATGCAACCACTTGCAGATCTGGACCCATAGCTAAGCACAAGATCCATTCATCAAGCTGGAATCCAATGTCACAAAGGAGGATTTCAGTCATGCAACATCAGAAGATAATTTAGTGTTTCCCACAAATAAGCCACCATCCAGCTTATTTTCCACATGGACAACATGCAGGAAGAAAGAAACAGCCCTAATAGTTAGCTTCCCTGAATCCCTTGATCATAGGTATGAATCTGAATCAGTAGTTAACATATATGTACTATACCAGGAAAAACGTTATCTAATAGCACTTGGTTATCTAACCAAGATACAGTTTTTTTTTATAAACCATGTAAACACTGCCTGCGGTTCCATTCCTGAGAGAGGGAAAAATGTGGAAAAGACAGACATATTCCACACTTCCATGTTCTCTCTTTTGTTCTGTAAAGTTTTTCCATATTGACAGAAGCTTGGAAACTGGAGCCATAGAGGTGAGATACTCCTAAGCAAATCAGGTTGCATAGTCAGTGCATTTTTGTTCCCTGGGAAGATGGCTGTTTCTTCGGGTTGTTGTAGGTTTTTTCGGGTTATATAGCCATGTTCTAGAGGCATTCTCTCCTGACGTTTCGCCTGCATCTATGGCAAGCATCCTCAGAGGTAGTGAGGATGCTTGCCATAGATGCAGGCGAAACGTCAGGAGAGAATGCCTCTAGAACATGGCCATATAGCCCGAAAAAAACCTACAACAACCCGGCTGTATCTTCATTTGCTATGGGCCATAGGAAAGGGGATGTTAAATAGTGGATTGTCTTAAAAGACAGTACATGCTATTCTGATCTTTGAGCTACAAACAGAGAAATCTAAAATGAACAGACTTTTCAAATAAGTGAGCAAGAGTTGCTCACAGCTGGCAAAATCACACACACATACTCCAACAGCGAACAATGCAACATTTACTCAATCCCGTCGAACCAATATCGAAGCAGAAAATTGCTGCAAACACTTTTGCGATTTCTGCAAATATGCCAACCTGCCTACTTTGTATACAATTCAACGATGCTGACGAAAGGCACATACACCATTCAGTAAAGTAAGGAGGGGGGAAAGAGATAACGCATATGTTTTACTATAGAAATTTAACACAGTTTGCCTCCGAAAAGATCATAATAAATAAGACAAGACCATGCAGTACTTCAATGAAAGCCAATTTTCCCATTTTAAAAAAACCCAAAACAAAATCCACATCTTATAAATTAATACGAGCCAAACTTTTCCTCCAGTCGGAATACATTTGGCCCAACAACTGTCAATGCAGCATAAGGAATGCAGGTGTTGTCAGAAAACAGTTTAATTATTTACAGAATGATTATTGGAATGATTACATAAAATACAGAAGAAAAATTTACACCTCTCACAGAAACCAGGACAAGAGATGCTGAGCAAGCTCACAGCTGATAGGGAACTAAAGCACTTTGAGTAAGGCAAACAAGTAGATAGCAAAATGAAAAATCACAAGGACTACTGGGCATGGGGGAGAGAAACGCAAGCTGAGGTTGTGTGTTTTTCTTTCAGATGGAGAGCAAAAATGAAAATGTCAAACTATTAATTCAGGATTCAAAGTGGATGATGTATCCCGCAGCAAATGTTGTCCACACCAAGACCCATCCTCAGAATGACAGGTGCCTCTGACCTCATCTGAGATGGCCTGGGACCCTCAGGGCACAAGCTTCCTAGTGCCAATGGGCCCATTTGGCCACTTCTGCCATGTGTCGTATTCTGCTTCCTACAGTACACACCCGTTTGCGAGTGTACAGTTTCAAAATGTGCAACAACCGGGAAGGCCCCCACCTCCCCCCACTCCCTGCTCTCAGGAGGTTATTACACTAACAGCACTCAAGATTCAGTTTTGCTGCCAATACATTTTGAAATCATCCCATCGCTGTGCAAAATGGAGCCATTTCAGAAAAGTGATTTTGAGCCTTGACTTTCAAATTCTGACCACGCATCATTCAGCTCCATGAAGATCATTTTGGCATACTGTTCGTAAGGCTGCCCCGTGGCCTGAAACAAAAGAGAACAAAAATGATAATTTAACTGCCCAGCTGCATCACAAACAGCTCACATTGTTTCTACAGCAAAAGGCAAGATACCATATTCACAACTACATTTGGTTTGGGAGTAAATCTTTATTCAGTGACCACCTCAAAAATTGTTTTCTGGACTGGAGTCACAAGCCATTCGTTAAAGCAAAAGAAAGAGTAGCCTACATGATTTGGGCCCAGGTGACCTACAGGATTGCCTTCGCCGGCATAATCCATCCTTCAGGACACTGAGGTCCTCTGAGGGTTGCTGACTCCAACCAGCCAGAACCCGATTGGCGACTGTGACCCAGAGGAACTTTTCATCAGCTGCCCCACGACTGTAGAAAGATCTGCCAGAAAAGCTCTGACAGCTAAATCAGCTGACGAAATTGAAGACCAATCTCTTCCAGCAAGTCTAGCCAGTCGATTCTAAACCAGTAATTTTACATTCTATTACTACTGCATTTTAATCATTGTACTGTGTGCTCTAATATACGGATTTTGTAGTAATGTATTTTACTGTGTGGATTTTATGTTGATATGTTTTGACTATAGCAGTGATTCCCAACCTTTTGGCCTCCAGTTGTTTTGGACTTCAGCTCCCGAAGTTCCTAACAACTGGTAAGCTGACTGGGATTTCTGGGAGTTGAAGTCCAAAACACATGGAGCTCCAAAGATTGGGAACCACTGGACTATGGTGTACTTAATTTCAAGCCATGAGGTGAGTAAATAATAATAATAATAATTATTATTATTATTATTATTATTATTATTATTGCAGTTGAATAATAATAATAATACTTATTAAATTTTAAATTTAAATTTTTAATTGCCTTGAACAGGCAGGATCACTTTTAATATATGTGTGTTATGGTGACAATTTTATGCTTATATTTTGTTTGTTAATCTTATGGTTATGTTGTTTTTACTCTGTATGTTTTGTGATGTTACTTGGGAACAGCTCTGAGTCCCCTCGGGAAGATGGAGCGGTATATAAATAAAGTTTTATTTATTTATTTATTTATTTATTATTCAACTGCAAAAAGCCACCTTACTTAGATTTGCACGCATGATTTGAAAATACACCACATAGTCCTAGATGCTTGGGAAGTGTTCAACTTGTGATTTTGTGATACGAAATCCAGCATATATGTCTTGTTTGCTGTGACATACTATGCTTTTGTGTCAGTAAAATAATAATAATAATAATAATAATAGAATACAAAAGCCAGCATAGTGATCTTGTTCAGTGTGAACTAATTTTGTTGTGTATCATTCTAGCATTCGTTTCTTGCAAAATTACTACATTTATCAGACTAGGGGATTGTTCAAACATTTCAAGATGCTCAGAAAATGCTGCATCCTAGAATCACAATTAAAAAACCGTTAAATCAAATTTTGAGAGTTCCTAGTTTAGAAATTTCTGAGGTCCGAGTAGTCCATGAAGTCCATGAAGTAGGTCACTAAACAACCATCTTTTGAGCATCTTGAGATGTGTCTTGTTTCGTCTGTGGACTCCACGAATGCTTTATAGTCCCTGCTTTAATTATTGTTCAGTCATGGCAACAGAAAAGTACAGTGATTAGTTCTCCTACTTGCTCAAACTGTCAGTTGCTTTATCAATACCTAACTTGTTCCGGACATTTGGAATAGAGGCTTCCTTCCTAGTGTGATTGGTTCCCTTTTATTTCATTCCTCTACCCAAAAGGTGGCAGTGACAGCTAGGTTTGCCTCTCTATTCAGCATCTCCCTGGTTGCCAGTTCGAGACTTACTAAAGGCCAAAGTCCTGGGAATGGTATTGCATTGCCCCCTCCATTTTGCATTACTGTGAATGTGGACAGCATTTTCTATGGGATCCAATTGAACTGCCATGCAAGAACATTTGCCCCCTAATACAGAGGTGTCAAAACAATTTTCACCAAGGGCTACATCATTTTCACCCTCGGCTGTGGAATGCCCTCCCTATAGATATTAGATCAGCCACCTCCCTTTTAACATTCCGGAAAAAACTCAAGATGTAGCTTTTTGAACAAGCATTTGCAAATGCAGAGTAACTGACACAGGAAAATAGAACGACTAGACAATGGGTCCGAACAACATTTTTAACAAGGAGACACTATAAATTTATATTTTATTGATTTGTTTAGTTTTTATTATGTGTTATATTTTAACTGTATTTATGACATTGTAAGAATTGAATTTTGTCCTGTTAACTGCCTTGAGTCGCCTACGGGATGAGAAAGGCGGTATACAAATACAGTAAATAAATAAATAAATACATCAGCCTTATGATTGCCTTCAAAGAGGTGTTGAATCCATGGATGGAGAATCAGTGGATACAGGGAGCCAACTATAATTTTTTTTACATAGCTGTCAGTGCGCTTTCCCCAGATGTTATACAACACCAACATTCATCACTTTTCTGTGGCGGCCCCCCGGCTTTGGAACGCCCTCCCAAAAGATCTTAGACAGGCCCCTACATTGGCAGTCTTCAGAAAGAATTTAAAAACTTGGCTGTTCCGATGTGCCTTCTCAGATTAGGAATCCCCATCACCAAGTCCTAGAAGCACTTTAGTAGAATTAAGATCGCTGCACACCGCACTTATTTTATAATCCTACATTCCTCCTGCCACTTCAGCACTTTTAATCCTGTACCCACTGCTCTGGCCAGCCCAGTTTTAAAGTGTTTTGATGTACTGTTATTGTTGTTGTTTATTTTGCTTAACTGTTTTGATTTGCTTCTGGTATTGTTGTTGTATTATGTTCTGTTGTATTGTGTTTGAGGCTTCGGCCTGTGTGAGCCGCATCGAGTCCTACGGGAGATGCTAGCGGGCTACAAATAAAGATAATAATAATAATAATAATAATAATAATAATAATAATAATAATAACGGGAATTGCAGCCCAACAGCAGTTGTGGCTCTGAGGTTGGTTAAAGGACATTTTAAAGTCAGGCATCATATCTATAAATCTTGTATCTAAATTCAAAGCCCACTATCCTGACTAAACTGAAGCCTTACAGATGTTATTGTATCATAACTCCTACCAGCTCTAGTCATGATGTCTAAGGGTGAGTATTACAGAAGTTGTAGTTCAGTATCTGGGAGGGCCGATAAAGTGATATGGTGAGCCAGATTTGGCCCGCGAGCCTTGACATACGTGTCCTGATGAAGGGAAGAGAGTGTTTCCAGGCAGTTAGATGGCAACTTGAAGAAGGGATGTCTTTTTGTCTTTCAGGTACACAGGAGGAATTAGGGAGTAGCAGACTAAAGGGCAACTGTGGGGGACTCACCTTATCTGGATGAACCACAAGCACTGCCTTCCTGTAGTACTTCTTCACTTGATCTGGGGTAACCAGGTCTGCCATGCCACATGGTTTCCATTTGGTTTCACCTTCCCAAAGCACAGTGTGGAGAGTAGATAATAAAGCTCTTATATTCCTCTCTTTTCCTTCAATCCAATCTAGAATCTAGAGAGAAAAAGAGAGAGATGGGAGAGCGGTTCAAATATATGTAAAAAGCTACTGCACAGTATCATGTTCCATTTCCAACATATATCTATTAATTAAATTTAAACCAGTGAGAGATAAACTGAGAGACTTCAAATGTTTTGGACTAGATCTCTCAACATCATTATTGTAGTTTTGGACTAGATCTCTCAACAATCCCAGGCACCACCCTGGCCATGAGTTAGGACCTTGTTGTGCACTTTACCCCCACTGGACCAGCCCTCTTGTGGTTATGCAGCAGACCTTGAAAATAAATAGCTCCAGGTCTCACCAGGACCATTAGGTAGGCCATGCTTGCGCTTTACCCACTCCCCAGGCCCTAGTCCACTTCATTGTACTAGCCAAAGTGTTGAGCCCCACTTTGTAATCTTGGCCACTGGAAGCTGTACTGGCTTTTTAATTTTAAATATGTACGATTGTTATATAGTACTATGTTTATACTTTTTATAATTACTTTTTGTATGTTCTTATGTTGGTAATTGCAATGCTTTTCCATTGGCTGCCGTTCATTTTCTGATCCCAATTCAAGGTGCAGGTTCTTACCTACAAAGCCCTGAACGGTTTGGGACCTGCCTACCTGCGTGACTGCATTTCTGCATATGAACCCACGTTATGTTTTTGATCATCTGGAGAGGCCCTGCTCTCGCTCCCACCTCCTTTGCAGGTGTGATTAGTGGGGATGAGGGAGAGGGCCTTCTCTATGGTGGCCCCCTGACTCTGGAACTCACTCCCTAAGGACATCAGACAAGCCCCCACATTGGTAGTCTTTAGGAGGAGCCTGAAAACGTGGATGTTCCAGTGTGCCTTCACTGAATAAAGGAAACAATTCCCTGCAAAATATCCTGAGAAACACTTCAATTACCCGTTAGGTTGTTCTTTACATTTCGTTTAAAATCCTCCTACTAGATACACCCTCTGTTCATGTCCAGCATTTATTTTAAAGTTTTAACTATTACATCTGGCCTGGCCATAGGTTTTTAAATCCTTGTGTGTTACTGTCTATGTGTGAGTTATATTAATTGTATTGTTTATTTTGCTTATTCCTTGTTTTTATTGATGTGTTGTTTTGGGCTTGGCCTCATGTAAGCCGCTCCGAGTCCCTTGGGGAGATGGTGGCAGGGTATAAATAAAGTTTTATTTATTATTATTATTATTATTATTATTATTATTATTATTATTATTATTATGCGTTACCATGCTAGAAACCGCACTGAGTCCCCTCGGAGAGATAGAGCAGTACACAAATAAAGGTTTGTTATTATTATTTATCACTAAACACTGCTCATTCTTGTCAGGCCTTATGTCACATAGATTTTTTGAAAAACAGAAGACACTAAGTTGCCTAATGTCTACTTTAAACTATCATTCAAAAATGTTTGCATATAGTTATGCAATGGAAGCTTTCAAATCTCCACAAGCCAGCTTGTCTCTGGCGAATGATACTTCTTTGCAGGAAGCCAGAAAGCTAAGCAAAAAAGGTTCTACAGATTAGAACAGGGCTGGGATTCCCCACCCCATTTTATGTTGTCAGCACACAGTAAGTGGCTCAAATTTATTTATCATGTCTGGAGCGAACCAAACAGTAGTATTGTATTTAAAAAAATACATACAAAGTTAGCAAACTTGGCATTTTATCAAACCAGGCTTTTCCACAATTCTACTTGAGCCACTAGGCATTTAATGGAATGGTAAGTGGCTCAAACAGAATTGTGGGAAAGCCTGGTTTGGGGAATATTTTTTTCTTGGAGAGCGTAGCTCTTTGACCAGAGCAGACACCAGAGCTTCTTTCTTTTTTCACTGGGGTAGAAGGAATGGTAAGTGCACTTGTCTAATAACGCACAAAAATCCAGCCACCAAATACCACTTTCTGCATCACTGAACCACCACTCTGTACAAGTTCTTCCATCTCTAATGAAGGCACAAGGGACACCTGATTATATTTGATTTAATCAGATTAATAAATAGCAATGGTATGGATAAACAGCCTTAGTCTTAGTGTTAGAAGAATCTACCCATGAGAAACACACAAAGAACAAAGAAAACATGCAACAAAGGCAGTTGAAAGGAGAGAAGCAGGGCAATAAACAGTCTATCACCTTTTGTATAGATGCAGAGAAGTCTGTGTGACCCAGGGAACTCACATAAGCAGGCAAACATTACTTTTGATGTATTTCTATTTTAATAAATTGAACCAAATGAAAACCTCAAACAGTCCCAGGAAATCCCAGATGGTATATTGATATATTGAATGACTGTAATTGAGAAGTTTTGGGAAACTGCCTTCCTGAACTGTTTTGATAAGCATCCAATCAAAGATACCATGGAAGGATGAAAGGGGAATGGAAAGGAAAAAGAGACTGGGAAAAAGGATTCTGGGGTGTGTGAAATGTCCTCGAAAATCCTATAAAGCCCCAACCAAGCTGCGTCTCGGGGTGGCAATTCCTGCCCATAGGTTTTTTGATTTTCGAAATAAAATCTGTGTATTTCATCTCCTCACCTCTGAACCTCATTTGGGAAATTGGCTTCAGAGGTTTTAAAGGGGCCTAGCCTCTTCACCATGTTTCCCTGAGATAATAAAAAGAACTCTTCAGTCAGTGGAGTTAAACTTGGTGCTCAAGAGATATATTTGAAGAGAAGTAATGGAGAGCCAACTGCACATCTTTGTCCTTGAGAAAGTCCACTACTCACTAAACCAAACTTGGAAAAGTTCCCTTTTAGGGAAGATAATCCTAAAATTTACCAGTGGTTTTGCTGGCTGGGAATTCTGGGCAATGTTGCTCAACAAGTAAAGTTCACACTAAAGACACAGAAATTTGATAGTTGCTTTAGAGTCATTGCAATGTTCCATCACAATTTTCTAAAGCTTTGAACATACAAAGCTATCATCAGAGCTGTCATCATTTCTTTTGACTGGCAGGCATTCTCCAGGGTCTTTGCACAGCTCTTTCATTTGAAATTCTTTTAAGGGATTGAACCTGGAACCTTCAGCAAACAATGCATATGCTCCCCATCTGGGCCACATTCCTCCCCATTCCTACAATACCAACACTAAGAAATCATGCCTTTATCCTCTCCAGCTCTTTTACAGAAAGCTCTTTGATGTTACATGCAGTTCAGGCACTGACTTCTATCCAAACACACATAAGAGGTGGCAGGACTGGAAGGGTTCAGTATAAAAACATCTAACCTTTAATTTTAGAGGATCCATATCTCTAGACATTTCTTGTTTTCTCATCTCTGCAATGGTCTTTGGTCCTTTTCTGTCAGATTTTGCAGCAAACCCTTGATTCGACAAAAGATCCTCAAAATCGTTTTCTGACACTTTGGGTTTTTGTCCTGGCAAACGAGATAAAAACTATGAAACTCACTGGTCAATGACAAGCGACAAAGAAGCAAAAAATCCTGTATCTGAACCAACATAGTTGTAACACCAAATCGTATGAATCATAATGAAACTCATCCATCCATCGTCACTTGGGAAACAGTTACACATCAAGAGTCCAAGAATGTCCCTGCTTATCCAAAATTAATTCCTTCAGTGAGATGTATTCCCCAGTGAACGTGCTCAGAAGTGCACTAATTAGGCAATTCTAGACATTTTGAACATGTTTTGAGCCATAAATTTTCCTTTTCAGTAAATGGGCAGTTTTACAGGCCAAAAGCAATTACCGAGGATCTGTACACACACTCACACAGCCTCTACATAGTAAGAAAAAAATAGTTATATAAATATATCCTGCCTACATGTTTTCATGTCTTTGTATCGAATTTCCCTGTGCTTCCTTGGGAATTTAAAAGACTCTACCCATTAATGCAGATTTCCAGCATTCTCTTTTAAACGACATATGTAGATTAGATCTATACTTAGTCATATTTTTAAAAAAATCTATAAATTTTAGAAGGACTCATCAATCATAATCTGAATGAATCCTGGAATGGGGTTCAGTCTGGACTAAATCCATACTCCCTATGATTAGTCAGTTCTGTGTGTTTTTGAACAAATAGAGTTAAAGATAAAGGTTTCCCTTTGACATTAAGTCTAGTCGAGTCTGACTCTGGGTGGTGATGCTCATCTAAGCTGAAGAGCTGGCATTGTCCGTAGGTAGATGCTTCCTAGGCCATGTGGCCAGCATGATTGTATGGAGCGCCGTTATATTCCCTCTGAAGTGGTACCTATTAATCTACTCACATTTGCATGTTTTCAAACTGCTACATTGGCAAATGCTGGGACTAACAACAGAAGCTCACCCTGTCCCGCAGATTCAAACCGCCAACCTTCCAGTCAGCAAGTTCTGCAGCTTAGTGGTTTAACCCGCTGCGCCACCACAGCCCCATTTTATAACAAATAGGACTGCTTTTATCATTAGGTACTATGGGGCTTGAACTATAAGGTATTATGGGGCTTGAACTAGGAACCTCATGGGTTGGAACTTCAGACAGAGCTGTTAACAGTCCTCTCTTGTTTTCTGATGTCCTGGAGACTAGGACGCGGAACAATGGCTTCAAACTACAAGAAAGTAGATTCCATCTGAACATTAGGAAGAACTTCCTGACTGTGAGAGCTGTTCAGCAGTGGAACTCTCTGCCCCGGAGTGTGGTGGAGGCTCCTTCTTTGGAGGCTTTTAAGCAGAGGCTGGATGGCTATATGTCAGGGGTGCTTTGAATGTGATTTTCCTACTTCTTGGCAGGGGGTTGGACTGGATGGCCCACAAGGTCTCTTCTAATTCTATGATTCTATGAATCTCAAACCCATGAGATTCTAGGTTCAAATGTCACAATCCCTGGCTCAGGAATTTGACTCTGTTTGTTAAAAGGCTGGCGAAAATAAAGGAGCCTGCTTAAAGAAAACCATCCACAGGTTTGGCTAAATATAGCTAGCTAGAACCAGCATGGTGTCAAGGTTTGAAGGCTGAACAACTACTATGGAGGCCAGAGCTTTAATCCCCACTTGGCCACAGAGGAAGCCAAAGTTACAGCTTCAGAAGAAGCCAAAAGCATGCCCTCTCTGAACAAATCCAAGAAAATACTTAGGGTTGCCATGTCAGAAATGACTTCAAGGCACACAATGACAAAATCCACCACTGTTGTTGATATTGTTAAGTGCTGCCATTTATGTCAATTGATATGAATGGGACACTTTGTCCATGTCTGGCAAACTGTGAGCTGTGCCTTCCTTGATAAGAGTCTGTCCACTTGTAATGCAATCTATTGATGTTCATACTGCTTTCAGTTTTATCTCTTCCAGGGACTAACTATCATGTTTGATCTTGGAAGCTAAGTGGGGTCAGTTCTGGTTAGCATTTGGGTAGAAAACCACCCACAACTGTCAGAACTGGTAAAACCACTTCTGAGTATTCCTTGCCTAGGAAAATCCTATGAAGTTCACGGGATCACCCTAACTTGATAGGTAACTTGAAGGCACACACAGATAAGGCACCTTTTCCAAATGCGGCTGGCGGGGACGAGGAGCAGGGCCTTCTCGGCTGTGGCCCCCCGCCTATGGAACACACTCCCAAAGGAGGTAAGATCTGCTCCCTCTCTCCTGACCATTAGAAAAAAAAAATTAAAATCATGGTTTTGGGACCAGGCCTTCGGACAATAGATGTATGCACCTTTTAGTGGGACAAGGACTGGAATGGCAACTCGATTGATGAGATTGTTTTATGGTTTTAATAACTGTCTTGATATTTGGGGATGTACCGTTTTTAATATGATTTATGTTTAAAGTGTGGTTTTACTATTGTAGTTGTAAGGCATTGAATCAATCGAGTTGCCATTCCAGTCCTTTGCCATTATCTATGTGTAAACCGCTTTGAGTCCCCCTAGGGGTGAGAAAAGTGATATATAAATACTGTAAATAAATAAATAATAAATTCCAATGTGTTATGTCATCTCATTTATTTATTTTTTCGTATCAGGAGCGACTTGAGAAACTGGAAGTCACGGTGTGAAATAACTGGCTGTCTACAAGGAAGTTGTCCAGGGGATGCCCAGGTGTTTTACCTTCCTGTGGGAGGTTTCTCTCATGTCCCCACATGGGAAGCTGGTGCTGACAGATTGGAGCTCACTCTGCTCCTTGGATTCAAACTGCTGACCTTTCAGTCAGCAGTCCTGTTGGCATAAGGGTTTACCCCATTGCGCCACTGGGGAATATCATATTATGCACAAAGTACAATAGATTCAATTTGGTCATTTTGGCTCCTAATCAGAATTCACAATTGATTTGCTCTTGGAACCATTTATTTGTCTTTTTTGTTTGTTTGTTTGCAGTCAATGATATCAAGAGACCTCTCCTCCAGCACATTTCAAATGAGTTAATTTTCTTCCTGCCAGCTTTCTTCGGTGCCCAGCTTTCAGATCTATAAATAGAAATACTTTAGCACGGATGACCTTCGCTCAAATGCACACCTTAACATGATGAGGGAATTTGAGTGTGTGAGAGACAAGCTGAGCATAATACCACCAGGAGACGAGACTCTATCAAGAGTTTAGACTCCTCATAGGGTAACTCAGAGTGCAATGCTCAAAATGGAGATACTAGCCTAAGATTTTAGGCAGGAATGGCTGCATTAGCAGAACAGAACTGTGAATTCCAATGGTGAGGCCAGTGTAGAATCTACATAAGAAACATTAGTTGTTGACGACTGATACTGAAAAGATCTCTTAGAGATAATGGCAGTAGCACTTTAACTAACAATTAGACAATCCAAATCAACCAATACAGATCCAATCCTATATACTATATATACTCGAATATAAGCCAACCCAAATATAAGCCAAGTAACTTAATTTTGCCACAAAAAACTGGGAAAATATATTGGCTCAAGTATAAGCCGAGGGTGGGAATTGCAACAGCTACTGGTAAATTTCAAAATAAAAATAGATACCAAAAAAATATATTAATTGAGGCATGAGTAGGTTAAATGTTTTTGAATATTTACATAAAACTGTAATTTAAGATAAGACTGTCCAACTCCGATTAAACCATTATTCTGATTTTCTTAAATGTAAATGTGCTTACATATCCTTCCAATAATAATAAAGGGAATAAAATAATAAATGTAATAATAATAATAGAATAAAATAATAACTGTAATCTATATAAATAAAAATCTAATGTTCGTTTGTGGGATTAACATAACTCAAAAGCCACTGGACGAATTGACATCAAATTTAGACACAATACACCTATCAGGCCAATAAGTGACCATCACTCATAAAAACACTGAAAAACACAAGAGACTTAAAAGGCTAAAAAACAAAAAAACACATTACAACGCATGGGCAAAACCACATATATACACATATGCACAAATATATACACACACATATATACACACACAAAACACATATACACGAACTGGGCCACTGCAATGCATGGCAGGGGACGGCTAGTCTAATATAAATAAAAATGTAATGTTTGTTTGTGGGATTAACATAACTCAAAAACCACTAGATGAATTGACACCAAATTTGGACACAATACATCTATCAGGCCAACAAGTGACCATCGTGCATAAAAACACATTGAAGAGACTTAAAAAGCCAAAAAATACAAAATACATTACAACACATGTGCAAAATCACATATATACACATATACGCATACATACACTCACAAAACACATATACACAGACTGGGCCAAAGCAGTGGCAGGAGACGTCTAGTAACAATAACAAAGTAATAATAACAACAACAACAATAACAGAGTAAAATAATAAATAACTTTGACTCGAGCATAAGCCGAGGGGGGCTTTTTCAACCTTAAAAAACCCTGAAAAACTCAGATTACACTCAAGTATATACAGTATTTGATTGTAAAAGTGATGTCAGAAATAGCCAAAGTTCTCTTGATGGCCTTCAAGCATTTTAAAAAGTACAATTGCAGATAATTACAACTCTCGTCTTTCCACACCACTGTGCCTGCTGGGATGATAGCAGTTGCAGTCCACATGTTGCTAACTCCACATAAAAGCAGTTCAAAGCATATCCTGTAAATTCTCGCATACAGGAACTTACCAAAGCCTGGGGCTCTGATGCCTCTCTCTTCACGCCCCCCAATAACGCTGAAATTCACCGTGTAGTTGGGTTTCGGCTGCACGCTCGGCTTGGCTTGTTCTGGTGGTTTTGGTTGTGAGTGAGATTGCCATGATGAGCTAGTTGCTTGTGGTTTGCTGGCCTGCCATGGATGCCCTGCCTTTTGTGAAGGAGTGGATTTGGGGGCAAAACTACCAGCAGAGAAACCCCCACTTGAAGCACCTGGAAAACAAGGATCAGAGCTTTTGTTGCAGACTTCTAAGAGACTGTTTGGTTTAACCTATGGACATCCAAAGATTGCTTCAACACTAATGGCCACGGGCACTTTAGTTCTTGAGGCAAAGGACAAAATGGGCCGCCCTCCTCATTCTATATAAAAGCTGATGGGTTTGAAAGTGAGTTATTTCATTATTATTTTAAAATGACCGTTCCCCCAGAGGTGGTTCTCAAGGCACTCACAAAGAAATTGAAGGAAAAGCAAATAAAACTTAATTCCTTGAAGATTCGGTTGCACCTAAATCCCATACTGGTAAAAGGGAGAAAAGCTTCCACCAGACTCAAAGGCAGGCCACTTTAGGGGAAGAAGACAGGCTATTTGGCACAGACAACTCTGTCCTGCTTCAAGAAGAGGGAACGGTTAGAAGGCTGGAGATGGAGTAACAAGTAACTTCTGTTGCCACTCTTACTATTTACTGCTGGATGAAGTTACCTAATTAAAGATCAGTCCTGTTGCTAACTGCGTAGCAAACACCATGGCTGTGTTGTTATGGGACAAGCTATTTTAGGTATAAAAACAGAAAGGAAGGGAAGTGTATTTTTAAAATAAAAGGAGAGATGTCTTCACAAGGAGATTTCTGCTAGTAGATCGGCATATTAACCCATGTAAATATGCACAATATTTACATATTGGCACATACTGATTTGAACTACATACAGAAAGAAAGGACAAGCAACTTGTGACTTTCCAGGTATTTCCCTTTCTTGGCTGTGTTGGCCAGAGCTGATGGAAGTTGCAATCCAGCAGCGAACATGCCACATACTGCCCACCCTGGATGCAAATGATACTCTCACTGGAGGAGTGAAAGGCATGACTAAACTAGAGGAAGCTATTATAATAGGCCTGGAGGCAAAATAAAAATGTGTAGATGAGCTTCTTCTGACAGCTGTGGAAATTGCTCACAGAAGAACCTGACCCTACATCCTCTGGCTGCCCTAATTAATTACAGAGAGCAATCTCAATGACATTCATGGAGCATTGCTGAGCATGCACAAAGTGGTTTATACAACCTTCTTGGACCTGAATGGCACCAGGGTGGAAACTATGCAGGGACTAACAAAGGGCCCTTTTGGAAAATTTGGAAGTTTGCAGATTGTTTCCTACACAGCATATGCAGCTCAAAATTTGCAAGTATTTTAATTGCAAAAATACTCCCAAGCCCCTATGACTGGTAGACCTCCTTGTTATTCCATGCTAGTAGAATGCATACCCTACTCTTAGCCTGTGATGCAACCAAGCTGAGACACTAGAATGCTGAATGTTGGAAAGTCTTGGTACCCAATTTCAGTTTCCCTCACAGACTTTTCCAATTAACCTGTTCTATATATTAGATCAAAAATGCAGAAGGCAGACCCAAGCAGGGCTTCATTTCCAAGCTTAAATCAGGAATCCTGTGCAGAAACCTAACAGCAGCAACAAATCAAGATCAACAGCTGAATTTTGAAACTAGTTGTTTAAAAGAGGGTTCATGCCAGACATTTAGTAAACTGACTTTAGTAACAGAAGTCAAGAGGGTTATGACTGGTTTTCCATTCTGACTGAACCGAAAACAAAATGTATAGCAAAATGGGAAAGATATCTCCTTTTTTTAAATGAAACTTTACTTTGCAAGTCACCCCATGTTTCAGGTACATTATCTACCTTAGTTGTACAGAGTATTGACATTTTCTATCTTTTACTTACACACTTACCTGGAAGGCCAGCTTTCAGGTTAGCGAGGTCGGCGAAAGGATCGAAGTTCTGCGATTTTGCTTGACTGAAGGAGAGGCCTGAGGGAACATTCGTAGGGCCTCCTGTTGTAAAAGCTTGGCCTACAAAGTGAATTGCAATTACTAAACTGTGCAAAAGTAGTGGCAAAAGGTCTCATGTTCCTACGCTGTTAAGCCTGCCTCCTGATAGTAGGCTGGGATATTCTCTTTGAGAGTGTTGTCCAGAAATAAGATGTTTCATGGAAACGCATATTGTTATATATTTATAATACAATAAAAGTAGAAAATTCATGCAACAGATACAACAATAAATCAACAGTTGGTATATATGTGAGACTAGGGGCTGGACTGAACTCCCAGGAGACTTTGGAGGGTTACTATCTGGAAAAATAAAAGAAAATCAATATTCTTCTCCAAATGTCCTCTTGGACACCTGGGAAAATTTTCATCATATTTTGGAAAACATCCTGGGCTGTTTTTCACGTTGCTAAAAAGGTCATAAGTAATTTCTTGTTCAATTACTGTTTTAGAAAAAGGCCTCTCTTGGCCCTAAAATGGCCCAGGACTATGCCAAAACATGACATGAGGGCATTTAGGGGAACTTTTTATGCCCAGGAGTTCTAGGTGTTGTAAAAAAAACACCTTGAAGGCCAGATGCAACCTTATGGCTACACCTTGCTCACCCACATATCAATTATGAACAAATGTATTGACTGTGAACTCACTGGGTCTCATATCCTCCCTGCTGTCAAATTGATGAAAGCATCAAAACAGAATACATTTACAATAAATTATGCCATGCCTTGTTCTCCAGATTAATCATGCTTTCAGAAGCACATCTTTGCTTGAAAACAGGGCACACACTCCTGATATGGCCCATTTTACTGGTAAATTTGAACTGCTTTAGCAGAGTTAAATACCAACAGCAGCAAAATCAGAAGCTCCCCCCTCCCCAAATCCAGCAGAGGACACTCCATCCAGCCCGCATTTTGTCCACTCTATCTAGCTCACATTTAATATCACTAATCTATTATTCTTTTTAAGTAGAGTTAATTTAGTGGGACTATCACACCAACCACTGTAAATTGTGAAGTTTTTAGGAATTTTAGCAAATTCCTAAAAACATTACACAGCAAAGTGGTTCCTATGTACACCGTACTTTAAATTCATTGACGGCACTCATCTGCCAGGTCTTGTAGTATTATCTCACACTACTGGTAGCTTTGCCTCCTTGTAATAAGCAGCTGAAAAGTTGACACCATTGGACAATACCTTCCAGGGTTGCCTTCTTAGATGCTGCCGGTGCTGGGGTGCTAACAGGAGGGGAATCTCCCCAAGAATCCCAGCCACCTAAAAGATCTGGCTGACTTGCAGAAGAAGTCATTTTAGGTGGATCTGGTGCCAAACCTCCTAGAGGAACAAAAAACCCCCAACAGATTAGATTTCAAACAATGATAGCAAGGTCCTCATAGACTTAACAGCATACAGGAGGAAATACGGAACTTCAATGAACCAAATTAAGAAAGATGTTTTGAAAATGCCACCTTTTATTGCTCTTTAAAATGATTTATTTTCATGTACTCCTTTACAGCCAATGGCAGGGCTGATATAAATCCATTTCCACATATATTTGTGGAGTGGATGCCCACCAAATCCTTCCCTTACTTTCTGGAAGGGCTTCAGGTCTCTTATTTTAAAGCATTACACATATTTTATGATACATTCTTTCTACTCAAAGAATATATTGAGAAGAGGGTGCATAAAGTCCATGCCTTAGTCACATCCCATTTGGACTACTGCAATGCTCTCTATGTGGGGCTGCCTTTGAAGATTAGTACAGAAATCAGCAACTAGATTGCTAACTGGAGCGTCGTATCATGAGAAGACGACTCTCATGCTGCAACAGCTCCACTGGTTGCCAGTCTGCTTCCAGGCTAAATACAAAGCCCTAACACTTTGGGGTCCAGGCTATTTGTCAATTTGCATCTCCCTGTATAGACCATCACGTGCACTGCGGTCTGCAGAGGAGGCCCTCCTCTCAGTCCCACCCCTGTCACAAGCTCAGCTAGTAGGAATGAAAGAGGGGGCTTTCTCTGTGATCACTCCCTGTCTCTGGAACTCTCTCCCTTAAAAAATAATAATGGCCCTTCTCTCTTTTAAGAAACTTTTAAAAATGCATCTATGCACTTTTGCATAAGGAGAGGAGGATTAGGACTGCTGGCTAATCTACGTGTATTAGATGGTTGTAATGATATGTCTTAAATGTAACACTGTTGTCAGCCATTTTTATGTAATGTCTCATAATTTGTTTTAGGGTGTACATTGTAATGTTTATTAATGTTTTAGTTTTTATATCTTAATGGATAGTTTTATGTTTTGATATTTGATTTTATATTGAGGTGTTGTCTATTATATTGGTTTTTGCATTTTATGTTTTTGTGTAATATTATGTTTATTGTATTGATGGGCGTGGTCTTATGTAAGCCGCCCCGAGTTCCCCTGGGGGAGATGGAGCAGGGTATAAATAAAGTTTTATTATTATTATTTTAATGTTATTTTTATGCATAATTCTTTGTTGTAAATTTTCTGTTATTCTTCATTATTTTGTATTATTTTATTTGTTTCCACCTATTTTAAGGCATTGAATGTTTGCTTTTGTACATGTAAACTGCCCTGAGTCCCTTTGGGGAGAGAGAGGTCTAGAAATTATTATTATTATTATTATTATTATTATTATTATCACCATCATCATCATCATCATCATCATCATCATTATATAAGGAGGAACTTATTATTTGAAAGGCAAACAGTAAACCTTCATGGTCAAGCTGACACCAGGGATCTTGATTTCCCTTATCCAAGATTTGTCTCAATTTCCATTTTTTTCTACTGAGTATTACTAACAGCTCCAGTTATAGTTCAATGGTAACAAGCACATCTGCATCTAAGCTGGATGAATCTGCATTCAAATCTTAATGGGTGAACACATATGGATGCTGTCTGCTATAGATTACTCACAACTGCCTACCTCAGTTCCATTTAGAATTGGAGAGCCAACATGATGGCTTGAATGTTGGACTAGGACACTTGACCCACACTTGACCATGGAAACCTACCTTGGGCAAGTCACTATCTCAACCTCAGAGAAAGGCAAGGGCAAATCTCCCCGAACAAGCACTGCCCAGAAACCCCTTAGGGTCGTTACAAGTCAGAAATGATGAAGGAACACAACAGCAACCATTACTAAATAGGTGTAAAAGATGATAGCCTTATTGACATTAAGTGCCAGGTTAGCTCTGACAGCATGATGCACCATAAACAGTGAAATGGTTTTGATGGTCCCTCATCTGGATAATGCAGACTGTAAGGATCAAAAATGGAGCCACCCAAAAATAGCATCCATGCTGCCCACAATTCACAAGCTTTTGAAGTGAAGGCCGACATCATCCTCCAAGTCTGTCAGTATTGTACTTTTCTGAGCGGCAGCAAGAGGTGGTGGGTTATGAAAAAAATGTCTTGCTCAACCTTAGGGAACCTGCTGCAGTAATCAAATGGGAGCCTTATCACCAATGAGCAGAGAATAATCTTTACACCAAGCCGAAGTGTATGCTGCTTTATCTGAAAACGTATCACGTTCCCTGGAAGCATTCTTGCCACAATAGTACTGGCTCTTCCAAACATGAAATTACAAAATAACACTAAACTCAGTAATAAAATGATACTAAAAACTAAACAGCAGTACAAAAATCTCCCTACTCCTATTTGATTATATCTAAAAGTAATAGACCTCAAATGCATTTTAACAGGCACAGAATTAAAAAGAACCATACTGAGTATTATGGGCCCTTAATATCTGCTGGGATTAGGTTTCATGATGCCACATGGATATCAAAATCCCTGGATACTTATTTAGAATTATGTAGTAAAATGCGTTCCCTATATAAAATGGAAAATCAAGGTTTGCTTTTTGGATTTTCTTTTGAGGGAGGGTATAATTTCATGCTGTGGATGGTTGAATCCACTGGCGCAGAATCCATGGATATGTAGGGCCAATTGTATTATACTGACTATGATATTGACTAAAAAGTCTGACCACAGTGAGATGAACTAGATATGTTTTGTGCTGGCCACAGCAGTTCAACCAGGAGCAGAAATAAATATTTTGAGGGAAAAGATGACCAGTTCATGTTATAAAATGATCTGGAAGGATATGTCCTTGAACTATTCTATTTAAAAGGGTGAAATATTCTTAATATAATAATATACTAGGATCAATCAAAAGACTTCTTACTGGTTCTTCTTCTAAGTACACTTGGCCCTCCATATCCATGGATTGGGAATTCACAAACTCCACCATTCACAGCTTGAATACCTATCTATCTATCTATCTATCTATCTATCTATCTATCTATCTATCTATCTATCTAAGGACAAATTCTGCCATTTTATTTAAGGATTTGATTACTCCATTGTAGATTTTGGTATCCACAGCCAGGGTGGGGATGTATTTTAAATATGTTATGTTTTAACGTTGTTGATTGAGCTTGGCCCTATGTAAGCTGCCCCAAGGCCCTTCAGGGAGATGAAGGCAGGGTATAAAAATAAAGTTGTTGTTGATGTTGTTGTTGTTAGCCAAACCCCAGCAGGTATCAAGAGCTCACTGTATACTTTGCTAGGAGTAAGCTGATACTTGCACAACTACTGATGACTCGTTCAGCAACCTCTTATCTTATGACAAAATCTAACTGCAGGTTCCATGGTCATAATACATAGCTAATTTTCAGTCTGAGGATGTAAGCCGTCAACTATTTTCATCTAAGGCCCAGCTTACCATTTCAAACTTAGCTCCCTCTACGAACAATATAGGGCAGTGGTTCTCAACCTGTAGGTTCCCAGGTGTTTTGGCCTACAACTCCCAGAAATCCCAGCAAATTTACCAGCTGTTAGGATTTCTGGGAGTTGAAGGCCAAAACATCTGGGGACCCACAGGTTGAGAACCACTGAAAGTTTAAGATCATCCGGGGAGGCCATGCTCTTAGTCCCACCTCTTTCGCAGGCGCAACTGGTGGAGACGAGAGACAGGACCTTCGCAGTGGTGGCCCCTTATTTATGGAACTCCCTCCTCAATGAAATCAGACCAGCACCTTCTCTCCTGACCTTCAGGGAAAAAACTTAAGATGTAGCTTTGGGATCACTGCAATAAATGATCATGAATCAAATGTGATTGACAAATGGAATGACCCTGGATTATGATTTTGATGGCATGATTTTAATTGATGTTTAATAATTTATGTTTTAATTCTTCGGTTTTAATTGTAATTGTTTATTTTTAATATATGTGTATATGGCATCAAATTGCTGTCTGTTTTAAGGCTGCGTTGAGTCCCCCTCCAGGGTGAGAAGGGCGAGGTATAAATATGGTAAAATAAATAAATAAAGATGAGAAAGTATAACAGTTTCCTTCTTGCTGTCTGAGAAATTGAATATTGCTCTACAGTGTTTTCCCTGTAGTAAAATGTTCTGAAGTGTTGTGAAGGAACTGTCCTGAAAAGAAGAACACGCTTTTTGTACAAACTTCCTGTTTCCTCCCTCCATCTTATCCTCTTGTTTTTGTGACAATTAGCTTGCTAAAGAGGTTTGGAGAACTTAAGTTTTGTCGTTTTGGCTGATTCTAATCTAAATATTGTTCAATTGTGAATTTTATTCCCCTCCCCCAATAGTACTACTACCACCACTATTAAGGAAGTTCTGTAAATTATAAATTAAACAATACTTTACAGAAACCACTATTTCTGCTCAAAGAGAAACACTGAATATAAAGAACAGAAAAACTGTCATAAAGATTTTGTAGAAGATAGAAATAGGTAGATGTGTACAAATTCTTTGAGAAAACACATTTTGCACAATTAATGTGGACAGCCGAATTCTTGGTTGTAGCCGTGCTAAATCACCTCCCACAAGGTCTTAAGACAGCGCTGCACTCAGAAGATCTTTTAATTCTCTAATTAAAGATGACAACTAGGATTTCCTGAGAATCAAGATACAGGTCTAGCATTACATAAGATTTAAGCCGTCTAAGACCTCCTTCCACAAGTGCTGTCTCTTCATTATCCTGCTGTCACCATCTAGAAAGTGGCTAATGATTCAATTATGGTTTGCCTCCTTAGTTTCACCATCTTTGAATCCCTAGCTTATTCTGCAGGACCACCTGCTGGATGAGTAGTCTTTTCAAACTAAGGCCCGGGGGCTGGATACGGCCCTCCAAGGTCATTTGCCCAGCCCTCGCTCAGGATCAACCGAAGTCTGAAACTACTTGAAAGTACACAACAACAATCTTATCTCATCAGCCAAAAGCAGCCCCACACTTCCCATTGAAATACTAGTAAGTTTATATTTGTTAAAACTGTTCTTAATTTTAATTATTGTATTATTTTTAAATGGTTTTTTTTCACTACAAATAAGATATTTGCAGTATGCATAGGAATTCATTCATGATTTTTCAAATTACAATCCGGCCCTCCAACAGTTTGAGGGACTGTGACCTGGCCCTCTGTTTAAAAAGTTTGAGGACCCCAGTTCTAAAGTGAAGATAGGGAACTTGTGCCCCTCCAGATACTGGCAGATTTCAGTTTCCATCAGACCCAGCCATCCTGATGAGTCATGAGGGATGATGGAAGTACAGGCAGCCCCTGAGTTATAAACATCTGATTTACAAACAATTCATAGTTAAGAACAGGGGTGAAACAACAGGAAATGACACATATCTGCCCCTTTGAAGGGAAATGGTGTCTCACAGGGGAAAAGGTGTCTCAACTGAAGATTTATCACCAATCCCTGAACAGGACACAGATACCAAAACAAACCACAGAGGTGTTAACCCTCCCCCCTATGCTATCCAAAGCTCTATATCTCTATTTCTATCTCTATCTCTGGCTGGAGTTACACTTTTAACAGTGTACCTGATCTGACTTACAAACAAATTCAACTTAAGAACAAACCTACAGAATCAATTTTCTTCGTAGCCTGGGTACTGCCTGTAGTAGCTGATCAATATCTGGAGGGCTACAGTCTCCCAACCCTCACTACATAAGAAAATCCTCCCTCTTGGCCACTTTCCCAATGCACTGAGCTCTGCCAGATGTCTAGCACTTTGGGAAATCTCTCCTCTTCCATTTGAACAGATATGTAAGCAACACATAATCATTAAGCAACACATTATGATGATAATGATAGGCACAGCCAGAGCCTCAGTTTTATACAGGAATTTTTAAAAGTGAGAACTTATAGCCTAGTAATAAAAGTACATGCTTTGAATATAAGATAAATCCTAGTTTTCTCTACAAGCCTTTAAAATTCCTGTTCACTTATGGGAAGTTGTCGCCATCGAGCTTCCAAGCAAGAAGAGTCCATACTTGCTGCTTCTTTGTTTTGCTGGTTCAAAGTTGTGCACAGAGAGCTGTTTTGTTCTGCTGTGGTTTGTTTAATTACAGTATGTAACACAATTTTTGTTCCTGGGTTATAAATGTAATTTCCCAATTGGTTCTATCATCAAAACATACAAAAACAGTTTATCAAACTGCAAAAACTTTGTTTTTGCGGGGCATCCTGCATCACATTTTGCTATAGTTTTTCAATGAATATTTCATCAAGTCTCAACCAATTCAACATAGGGTTGTTGTAGGTTTTTTCAGGCTATATTGCCATGTTCTAGAGCAGTGGTTCTCAACCTGTGGGTCCCCAGATGTTTTGGCCTTCAACTTCCAGAAACCCAACAGCTTGTTATCTGGCTGGGATTTCTGGGAGTTGTAGGCCAAAACACCTGGGGACCCATAAGTTGAGAACCATTGTTCTAGAGGCACTCTCTCCTGACGTTTCGTCTGAATCTATAGCAAATATCCTCAGAGGTTGTGAGGTCACAACCTCTGAGGATGCCTGCCATAGATGTAGGCAAGCTGTCAGGAGAGAATGCCTCTAGAACAGGGGTCCTCAAACTAAGGCCCGGGGCCAAATGCGGCCCTCCAAGGTAATTTACCCAGCCCTCGCTCAGGGTCAACCTAAGTCTGAACTGACTTGAAAGCACACAAGCACACAACAACAACAACAATCCTATCTCATCAGCCAAAAGCAGGCCCACACTTCCCATTGAAATACTAATAAGTTTAAATTTGTTAAAATTGTTCTTCATTTTAATTATTGTATTGTTTTTTTTTTGGACTATACATAAGATATGTGCAGTGTGCATAGGAATTCATTTGTGTTTTTTTCAAATTATAATCTGACCCTCCAACAGTTTGAGGAGTGTGACCTGGCCCTATGTTTATAAAGTTTGAGGACCCCTGCTCTAGAACATGGCCATATAGCCCGAAAAAACCTACAACAACCCAGTGATTCCAGCCATGAAAGCCTTTGACAATACAATACAACATAGTTTGTGGCAGCCACAAAAACGAAGTTTCTGGAGTATAACAACGGCTTTCAAAGCAAGTACCACGTAATTAAACAGAATATTTTCAAACCAGGAACAGATTTTCTTTTCAAAATTTGTTACGTAGTGTCATGTGCATCACATGGTTTAGTTGCAACACTGTCCTTTAAGGAACTCTGCCAATTTTGAGAAAGAGCTCTATTTTCTAAACAATTTGAATGTTAACAAATTTTCTCCCACCCAATGAAATTAAGGAATGCCTAAGCCTTCCCTGGTGTCCTCCAAACCTCTTGATCTACAACTCAAGTCCTGGATATATATCCAAAGTGCTTTCTATAGCCTTACAAAGGCTGTCCTCAGGGAGACCTGTCTGGCCCCATATCATTATTGTGAAGGTTGACTAAGTCACTTCCATATTCCCAGTCATTTTACGGAATGTGACTGGCCTTCGATCAACTAGCTAGATACCCCTTTTGTGCATTGCTAGGAGTAGTTCCTGTTAAATATTACACATTATTTTCTTGTTTTAACTTCCACTTATTTTATCTGTAACAGTCTCATTTTTCTTTCAAGGAAGAAAGCCCTGGGAAATGGAATAAATAACCAAAGCAACACCAGTCATCTCCAGACAATATGGCACCAGGAAGGTGTCAAATCTGGGAAGACAATGTATGTCAGCCGAGAATAACTCAAATTGCCTGCTATGTACAGCTGAAGAAAAGGTAGCTTCATTTGGAAGCAGAGAAATCATTTCTGGGCTTTTTGCCCAACATCAGTACAAACAAAATCTTCCTGTTTGGTATTTTACAGTAAAGGTGTGCAACTGTGGAAAACAAGGGGGACATATTACCTCCCTAGGACATCATGGAGGACCACATTCCTACAAATATGGCCATAGAAAATGGTCATCAGGAGGGGGGTAGATTTGCTGGGGCCACATGGGCTGCAACCTACTTGCTTTTCGGAAAGCCTGTAAAACCTTTCTCTTCCAACAAGCTTTTGATGGGTGAATAACTAGGGACTATGTCTGTTCTTGTTTTATTGTATTTTAAAGTTAATTGTATTGTTTTAATCTACTGCTGTAAACTGCTCTGAGCCAAATTGGGAGTAGTGGTATACAAGTCAAATAAATAAAATAATAAAATAAAATAAAAAAATTTTATGCTCCCTTGCTTTATGGGATTATTCTGTTATTGTATGAAACATCATACAAAATACCTGGTTTAAGGCATTTAATATTTTAGTGCCCTCTTTCCAAATACTCTTTTCAAACTTGTCAATCTACAAAGGACAGGTTATAGAAATGATTCCCAACCTTTTTTGACCAGGGACCACCTGACACTTTGACAAGGGACCACTCTCCAAAATTAGTGTCAAAAGAGTTACAAATCAGTTTTTAGTCAACTTTAGATTTGGTTTGGTTATTTGGGCTGCTGATTCAGAAAATTGCATGGGACAGATCACCTCAGCTCTCGTTTCTGATACAGAACATATGCCATCCACTAGTTGCTATCTGCTCGCCCACAGAAAACCATATTTAATAAGCCTCAGCACTATAAGAGGGTTTTGTGAGAACAGTCACTCTCATTGCAACGGTGGAGTAACAATGAGGCTGCAGACCACAGTTGGGAACCATTGGGTTACAAGAATGTAGCAGGACCCTTTAACCAACATAATCTTTCCACGGCATTATTTCCAACGTAAACATTCACTGAGGCTGAAAGGGTACTCTCCAGCACTGTCTTACAACAAGCCGACTAAGTCACACACACGGACTGAACATTGTAATTTTAGAAACACTCTTAGCATCTTTTTCTAACCTGCGGAGTTGATGCTATTTATGTGCCATTAAGTCAGCCAGAACAATCTCTTCCTGTTTCCTCCAACAACTATTCATAGATTTAATCGGCAGAGAAGCCTACACAACACACGCATGCGTACTTCCTCTCACAATTCAGAGCCCACCATATATGGTGGACATTGGATTCTATTTAAAAGTTACTTTCGCAATGAAATTATACATATATTCCCTTGCATTTATCATCCAGAAGGATTGAAATAACTGTCTGACTGTCATTTAAAATGAAGTATAAACTGGAACTAAATATTGGCTGTTGTGCACCCTCAAATAATTCCCAATGTACAGTAACCTTAATTTTCTGCTATCATAAGGTTTGGGGGATGAGGTTTGGAAGTTTGTGATTCCCCAAGATCATCCAGTCGGTTTCCAAAGGAATTGAACCCTGTTCTCCGGAGTCATAGTACAAGACTCAAACTGCTATGTCATGCTTACTCTCAGAATTAAGTCTGCTGTTGATTTTTGTTCTACCCATTATGATACTGTTACTGTTTTATTATTCTGTGTTGTGCTTCTGGGATTAAATGCAAATGCAATTTCACTATTTTAAAAAGTTTCCAAAAGTTGTAAGGAAGATAAATGCTCCATGCTCCTAACATGATTTCTCTTGGATTTTGTATTCAATGTACACCTGGCACATGTCTTGGGCTCCACAACACCACAGCTGGTCACCTCTGTTTTAAAGCATTATATCATTTCCGATTTGTAGGTGATGACATTCTTTTCAAAATGCAATATGTCATGTTCCTTATTCAACTGTCTGCTCACTCCCAGAAAATCGAAGAAGGATGGTATTTTCAAAACATCTGCCACTTTACAACAGAAATTATCATAATACATCCGTAACACATCACTTGTTAAAATAGCAACACCATCAAGCTGATTTGTTAGACACTAATCCATTTTGACTAATCTGAGCAGAGCAAGTCTCTCAACTGGTCATGTGACTGGTGTTGGGGATAAGGAAGGAAATCATGTCAAACATATACTTACCTAAATTAAGGAACTCTGTGCTAGAAGAAGGAGGTGGCGCACTGTGTGTGGAAGGGAACATACTCGACCCGGTTGGTGCATTTGGACTGAGAAAGTCGCCAAAGAGATCAGGACCCGTAAGAGTTGGATTATCTGGATTGACTGTGAATGGGTCAAATGGGTCAGCTAAAGAAAAAAACACAACATGGCTGGTATTATGCAAAATGCTCCAAAACTATGTCACAGAGTACAATGACAAAGAGTTTGGTGATAGTTGAAAAACTAATAGATCTACGACAGCATAAGCACTGTGGACTTTGGGAGATGCGTATTCCGCTCTTGTGTGTTTTGCTAGCGTGGGGAAGTATCCCATGTTAAGGTATCTCTTTTCTAGCCCTGAATAATAATAATAATAATAATCATCATCATCATCATCTTTATTTATACCCCGCCACCATCTCCCCGATGGGGACTTGGGGCGGCTTACATGAGGCCAAGCCCAAACAACAAGTTACAACAGAATAAAACCGAAAACGCAAACCGAAAACGCAGACAATAAACAACAACATCATAATTACATAAAACATGTGAATACATAACGATATAAAATTCCAATAAACACAATCACAATGACAATGGGTGGGCTACATGTAGTGATTAAAGAAAAAACTAATTAAAAACTAATTAAAAACTCAGGTGAGATCAAGGAGAAGCAGGTTATTTGCGGAGGAGGGCTCATTATAGCAGGGGTTGTGGAATCAAACTTTCCCACAAGGGGGGACGGGACATGTACTCCAATTTCAGAACGTTGAGGCTAAGAAATAGTGTGAGGTTATATATCTACTCACCAAAGGCGAAGCAGAAGAGCCAGGTTTTAAGGTTCTTTTTAAAGTTTTCTAGGGTAGGAGCTTTCCTAATCTCTTCAGACAATGAGTTCCAGAGTCGGGGGGGCCACAGAGGAAAAGGCTCTCTCCCTTGTATTTACAAGGCGAGCTTGTGAAACTGGCAGGGGTGAAAGAAGGGTCTCCCCAGAAGATTGGAGGGCCCGAGCTGGTTCATGGAGGGAGATACGGTCACAAAGGTAGGTGGGTCCCAAACCGTTTCTTAAAAGATTTTGTATCTCTGCTTCCTACTCCCTACATTAGGGCTCAGTCCCTATTACATAACATAAGGATTTCGTCTAATCAACAGAAGGAACAATGATCCTCTGAGATAATCCCTCAGACACTTGTGTACGTTCAGGATGCTAAATCCTCACTACCACTGGATCCTGTTAAGGAAATAAAATCCTAGAAACCCCTAAAATGTCTGTGAATCTGCAAGACCAGTTCATAGTCCTCCCCAAGAAAAATCAAGCAACTAACTGAAATCTCTAGGAAGTAGTGAAGCAATCAGAAGCTAACAGGTTTTGTTTCCATGTAAAGATAATCCAAACGGAGCCGCTAACCTAAGAAGTAACATAAAAGCCTTACTGTACCAGTCTGAATGGAAGGCATTGCTGGCTTTTCTGCGCAGAAAGATGAACAAAAGGCCAATGGAACAAGCAGATGGATGTAGAGAGGGAGTCTACAGCAGGAAGGTCTTTTACTGACCACTGTCAGGCAGGAGCTAACTGGAGCCGCTCAGGGGACAGTATTTATACTCCGCAGGGGAGTGGCATGTCATGGCCAGCAGGGAGCCAAGCTGATACTCTACCTTGCAATTGCGGCACTCAAAGGTCAAAATCCTTTAAGAATCAAGCCTATTTCAACACTCTTGTAGTAGCTTGGGTGCAGTAGAGCCAATTTAAAATGGCATGGCAGAAGCAAAGCCACCAACTTCAGAAACACAGCTAATATTCTTTTCTTGCTGCAACATACACACCCACTTGTTTCCATCACACATCAATAACATATAGTAATGAACACATCAACTTTTCAGAACCAGCTGAGGTTCCATATTCATCTTGTATTTGTCGGCATTCAAAACAATCACCGCACTGTGGTTTTGTTTAACTCCAAAATATCTTAGTAAACACCAAAATAGCATTTGTTTTTTCTTAAAGGCAACTGGGGTTGCTGAACGAAGAAACTTGTCAGCTGATGGAGCCACACAATTCTTGCCTATAATGTACTCCCTATCAAGCTCAATGGAAGAGGTAAATATTAAGCTGCATATTTTAACACCAGAAAGCAGAACTATAAACCTCAAAGGGATGAAACCACCAAACCTGACTCTAAAATCAAATACATCTTGTAATAGATAATAATAATAATAATAATAATAATAATAATAATAATAATGTATTGTCGAAGGCTTTCATGGCCGGAATCACTGGGTTGTTGTAGGTTTTTTCGGGCTATATGGCCATGATCTAGAGGCATTCTCTTCTGACGTTTCGCCTGCATCTATGGCAAGCATCCTCAGAGGTAGTGAGGTCTGTTGGAACTAGGAAAAAGGGTTTATATATTTGTGGAATGACCAGGGTGGGACAAAGGCTCTTGTCTGCTGGAGCTAGGTGTGAATGTTTCAACTGACCACCTTGATTAGCATATAATGGCCTGACGGTGCCTGGAGCAAACTTTTGTTGAGAGGTGATTAGAGGTGATAACCTAATAATAATAATCATCATCATCATCATACACATTATTTATATTTCACCCTTTTCCCCTGGGGGACTCAAGAGTGGATTACAACATTTACAAACGACATAAGCAAACATTCAATGCCTTAGAATCCCATACAATGAGACACACAAACACAGACATGGCAAAGGCTTCTCCTTTTTCAATTCCGGCTTCTGGAGGCGGTGCTCATTTCTGGCTCTGGGGGAGGTGTTCTTCTCAATTTTCAAGCCGAGGAGCTGGAATTGTCACCTCCTGGTTGTGTGGCCGGCAAGACTGCTTGGAGTGTATTTTTGCCTTTTCCGGCTAAAATGGTAACTATTTATCTACACAGATTCGCATGTTTTAGAACTGCTTGGTTGGCAGGAGCTAGGGCTAACAGCAGGAGCTCACCCTGTCCCATGGATTCGAACTGCCAACCTTTGTGCTACTGATTTCTATTAGAAATCAGCTATTTTCCCATTCTGATCCTTAAGATGATTAGATTGAGTAATTTGGGATCTATAAAGTACGCCATGACCCCTTCCAGCCCAAATATAGTGTTTGTAATTATCTGGAATGTATCCCCCATTGATGAGGAGGTCATTCTGTAGAGTACTTTTTCATCTGTCAATATCATCAGTGTTAGGTGATAACCTATCAGTTGGGTTGTTGAACATTTTTGGGCTGTGTGGGCATGTTCTAGAAGCATTCTCTCCTGCTGTTTCACCTGCATCTATGGCAGGCATCCTCAGAGGTTGTGAGAACCTCACAACCTCTGAGGATGCCTGCTACAGATGCAGGTGAAACAACAGGAGAGAATGCTTCCAGAACATGGCCATACAACCCGAAAAACCTACAACAACCCAGAGATTCCGGCCATGATAGCCTTCAACAAACTATCAGTTGTTTGGGAGAGTTTTTGTGAATCAGCAGTTAAACATTCCCACTCCAGTCAACTGGGTCTGCCTTCCAAGCTACAAGTGCTGAGAGAATGATGAATTCCAAACAAAATGATCTTACACTGCAAAAACTACAAATTTATATTGATCATAACCTAAACAAATCTCTGTAAGTCAGCCATTTCCCTTCAAAAGGGATTTCACTTCTAAAGAGAGTTTCATGCGGAGAGCACCATAATGGCATCTTGGGATAAAAATTGATCTTTATTTCACATGCATTATAGTGATCTCTTTTATGAAGTAATTATGAAAGTTTTAGCCTGCTTTTACTGGTATTTTATTATAGCAAAGGTAAGCATGCATTCCAAATGTCAAACCTTCTTCTAATTATAGTAATATTTTGTTTCTCAAAGTGTATGAATCAGACAACAGGAATTATACTCTATTTTCAAGCCGAGGAGTCTATTCCTCCTTGTCATCTTGTAATACCTGAAATCGAACCCTTCCTTGTCAAATAAAGGTGAATAGGTCTTTTGCTACTATTCAAATGCAATACCAATGGTCCTTTTGACCCCTCATTCTACCACTCTTCAATTATTCTCACTCACTCTGACACATACACACCTCAACGCATTTTCTCTTTTGCGCCAATCAAAAAGATCAGAAATATGCTGTTATAATATTAAAACAAAATTATACAAAAATTTGGGAAAAGTATATTTAAAGAAATAAGAGCAATAATAGAAACAGAGACTGAGATTACTCCAATATTAGCATTATTACTTATACATGATAATATAATTTCCTTACAAGAGGAGAAAGAATTGGTTTTTAATTTGATAACAGCAGCTAAATTGTTAATAGCAAACTAGAAAGAAAAAAGAAATTTAATAAGAAGAATGGTATAGGGAAATTTGGAATATAGCAATTCATGACAAGCTAACTTGCAATATTAAAATTAAAAGGGGAATATGTAAACAGACTTTTGGAAAATATGGGGAAATTTTATTGATTATGTGTTTCATGAGGGAAAGGGGTATAAGTCAGCAAGAGAAACAATGATATTTTGGAATAGTGAAACTACGTGAGCTGGTTGGTCCTGGTGAAGGGGGCACAAACTAAGGGTAAGGGGAAGAGGGGGGGAAAACCAGTACAATAATAATTATGAAGAAATACAATAAGTATAAGTGGATAAAAGGTGTGTGATAGAGTTATATGTAGTATAAGTTGTAATAGAAATTTAAAAATCATAAAAAAATAATTAAAGATGTTTTTGATTTTTTTTTTACTGTTAGATTGTATATACTATGACATACTCTTTTGTCTAAGATACTGTAAAAAGATAGAAGAATGTATGCTTATACATTTTGTTGGACAAATGTATAAATAAAATAAAATAAATAAAAAATTAAATACAATGGAAGTGCAGATTCTTGAAACCATATATCTGTTCCAAACTCTAAAAGGATAATGGACATTTCTGGATGGTAGACGATCTAAAGGCAATGAAAATTATAGTATTGTTGACAACTAAAAAAAGTGAATTTTTAATAAACCTTTCACTCAGATTTTTTGTAAGAAGGATTTCAATGAAAAGGAAGTCTCCGTTACCTGAAGAAGAGATGTCTACTGTAGGTGGAACACAACTATCTTGGGGATTTGCAGATGGTTGGGACTGGCTCCCAAAAAAGAAGTCTGCACCTCCTCCCAGAAGGTCTGTAGTAGAGTCTTCTGAACTCTCTGGCAGACCACTAAGGAATAGGTCATTCAGCAAGTCTGCATTGCTAGAGGAACTCTTCATCTCTGAAGGAGGTTGGAGGAGTTCTGGTGGTGCTTCTGAATCCAGTCCAAGCAAGTCAACACTGTCTTCCACAAGTGTCTCTTTGGAGTGAGCAGCAGACATTTCAAAGTTGGCTTCAAAAAGCTGCTCACTGTTTTCTTTCCCTGGTGTGTTCTCTGTTTCTTCAGCTGCTCTACCTTCACTTGGAAATGCAGAAAATTCTTCATCGGAAGGTTCACTGTCCTCCCTTTCATCCATTAGCCCTGGACACTCTTTAGGAAAGTAGCCCTCTGGTCCAACATCTGAATGTTTTCCTTCTGTTTAGTAAAAAGAATGCCATTACATTCCTGTGTGATGAGTGATACATTCTACCATTTGGCAAACAATTTTCCAGAAGGGTCATTTTGATTACGGTGAACCAATTTCTATGTGAAGGAAGTGGCCTTTCAGAACAACACCAAATGAAGTTGGGGGACATGGGAAGAATAGGTGGCTTTGGAAATGCATATCTACCAAAAGGCGTATGGAACCCAGAAGCAAGCAAAATGCTTACTGCTTTAATTCCTCTAGGAAAATACAGATCAGTGACTGTGGTCCTCTAGGTATGTTTGGTTGCCTACCACCATCAACCACAGCCAGTCTCAGTACTCACATCTTTAAGCCTGATAGTAGAGAAAGCCAAGAAGAAGCTATCTTTTCATTTAATTTGCAATAAACTATTGTTGTATGAAGTCTGAGCAGTCTGGGGTCTTCTTAACTCAGTGGTTCTCAACCTGTGGGTCCCCAGATGTTTTTGCATTCAGCTCTCAGAAATCCTAACAGCTGGTAAACTGGCTGGGATTTCTGGGAGTTGTAGGCCAAAACATCTGGGGACCCACAGGTTGAGAACCACTGCCTTAGAATATTCACATGCAAAATCAAAATATCTGCTTATTAGTGGAATACAGCCTTCTCAAAGAAGGTGTAGAAAGGTGGGTGTGCCACAACTGAAAGCATACAATAAAATAGTGGTGTTGGAATGCTGATGCTAAAACCTAGCCCCCAAAAGGATCCACTTTCCTTCAAATATCACATCATTAGGTTGCATTAAAGACAGATAGGAAGGAGAGCTATGTTGTTGACCAGAGACAGAAGACAGTTCCTCCCTTCTTGAACTATTTCCACTCCACATGATCTTTATAATAATAACAACAACTATAAATGGCTACTCTAAAAATGGTACCTGGATTTCCTTTCCTTTCTTCCCTTTTATCCTTTTACATTATGTAATTTAGAAAATCGGTTTGCAGAAAGGCACTCACTTGCATGCAATGTGCACTGGGAGACATTTTATTAGAACACAGAAAACATGCTTTTAAAAGTCATCAGCAGCAACACAATATCTCCCTCTGACACATCTTTTCTTTACCTTGCCAATCAAGTGTTTGGAAGAAGTTTGCCTCTGTGCTACTGCTGGGTGGGGAGTCTGGTTCCACAGGTGTATCTTCAGAAGACGGTTCTGACTTAGATGCTTCTGCTTCATACTGTGCAGTTGACCCGGGCTGTCTGGGCAGTTCAGGTTTACCTATTGGGTGAAAGCCCAACCCCCCAAAATTTAGAAACACCCCTTTCAAGATTTCTTATCTTTAAGGACACAAGAGCACATTATAATATTCTTCTCGCTAAAAAAAAGAGTTCACTCCCCCACAACTCCCTCACACCCTACAACACACACCCAAACACAATATAATTAAGCCCCCACAATGGAACAAACATTTTTCTTTACCAAATTTTGATAATATCTCTTGCTGTTCCTCACGGCTGGAGAAAAGGATTTTGGGATTTAAACCCTTGATGTTCAAGTTATCCCAGGGGGTGCGTTCAGTGCTGGGTCTATCCCGTGGCTCAACTTCAACTTCCAGATTCACTTGGAACAAATCAGGATACTTCTCCTGAATGTCACAGGCATCCAGATCATACCTGCAACAATGTTACAATTACAAATGCACAGGCCTGTTTGTTTGCTCTTTAATTGGAACATAAATTGGAACATGTCCAGAGGAGGGTGATCAAAATAATAAAAAGCCTGGAGACCATGCCCTATGAGGAGTAGCTTAGGGAGCTGTGTGTATTTAGCCTGGAGAAGAGACAATTAAGTGCTGTAGGACAGTGGGATGTGCTGCCTGGGAGTGTGGTGGAGTCTCATTCTCTGGAGGTTTTTCAGCAGCAGCCACTTCTTTTTTTATCATTTCAGAAACAAATTGAGAGAATACTACAAGTCACTTCTGGTGAGAGAGAATTGGCCATCTGCAAGGATGTTGCCCAGGGGACACCCAAATGTGTTACCATGTCCCTGCATGAGAAGCTGGGGCTGACAGACGGGAGCTCACCCTGTCTCACAGATTTGAACTGACAACCTTCAGGTCTTCATGTCAGCAGTTCAGTCAGCACAAGAATTTAACCCACTATGCCACTGCAGCTGCTTAAAGAGTGACTGTCGATTCCTGCATGGTAAAAGTTGGACTAGATCAGAGGTCCTCAAACTAAGGCCCGAGGGCCGGATACAGCCCTCCAAGGTCATTTACCCGGCCCTCGCTCAAGGTCAACCTAAGTCTGAAATGACTTGAAAGCACACAACAACAATAACAACAATCCTATCTCATCAGCCAAAAGGAGGCCCACATTTCCCATTGAAATACTAAGTTTATATTTGTTAAAATTGTTCTTCATTTTAATTATTGTATTGTTTTTAAGTGTTTTTTGCACTACAAATAAGGTATGTGCAGTGTGCATAGGAATTCATTCATTTTTTTTCACATTATAATCCGGCCCTCCAACAGATTGAGGGACTGTGACCTTGCCCTCTGTTTAAAAAGTTTGAGGACCCCTGGACTAGATGTCCTTGTGGTCTCTTCCAGTTCAGTCAATGATTCCACAATCTACTAAAAAGTGTCCAAACAAGAAAACAAGAACTGTACCACAAATGCTTTCAGAGCATTTCATTTCCTGCAGAAACATGGGAGTACCTTTATTATGTCTATACTCATAACCTGGATGGGACCGAGAGTTTTCATTAGCAACCTTCAACAGCATAGGTCGGCTCCTCCTTCCACAGGTGTTTAATGAAAGAGTGGAAAACATTTGGCTCTCCAAATGTTTCAAAATTCAACTCCCAGAAGCTCCAGAAAACATAGTCAATAGGGTTTATGGGAATTATAGACTAGTGTTAACATTACAGTGATGATTACACTGAAGTGTGCAAAGTGCAGCCCCCTGGATGTTATCAGATTACCGCTCCCATCAATCCTAGCCCATACAAAGACAATCCTAGATAAAACTGACTTCAGTCCAGCACCTCTGGAGAGACAACTTCTGCCAAGACCAGAGAGTATGTTAGCCTCCGACTCATCTTCCCACCTTATATTTGTAGTGTGTGATAAATTGCATTGTTACTACCTTTGCATTTATTCAGAGATCAAGGAGGACTGGTGTAGAGAAAGCTGCATTGTAAAAATCATAGAAATGGGGAAGGCTGCAAATTATCCCATTAATTATACTTGTATGCAGCTACATTCATTGCAATTGTATTCAGTGGCTTTTCCCAATTAGATGGTCAACATACGTTGCAAATTTCACAGTTGTGGCGTTTCGGGGGACGAATCCTGTATGAAACTGGATCTGGAACATCTTCATTGATGCCATCTTGCAAAAGAACACAAAAAAAGAACAAGTCGCACAATATGTACACGTTTATTAGACATAATTGTCTCTTGTTCAGTGGCTTTATGGTGACTGTCAAATATTTTGTTTCACATCACAGTAATTTAATACTGTAGCAATATAATTTATTAATAGCCCTTGGGAACATGTCTCCCACTATAGTCTTAAGGCCAACTATAGTCTTAAGTACATCACTACAAATCCCAGAATTCCATAAAATGTTGCCACGACAGTTACAGAGGAATTGTGGTGCTATAACTATGTAGTGTGGACAGGCTGCAAATTTAGGAGCAGAAATTAAAAGTTACACACTGAAATTTTAAAAGTTAAAAATCCAATAACTTTAAGTTGTATGAACATGCTTTGAGATTACCATATATTCTGGCATATAAGACAACTGGGCGTATAAGACGACCCCCAACTTTTCCAGTTAAAATATAGAGTTTGGGATATATTCACCATATAACACTACCCCTCTTCCAAATAAAAATTTAAAAAGCATCAGATTTGATTTCAATATGGTGATTTTCCTATTACTGTACCTCCTTCTCTGCCTCTCAGATCTCGCACATGCGCACCTGCACCACTTCACTGCCATCTTCAGGAGCGAGATCTGTGATGCAGAGGAGGAGGTATGGTAATAGGATACAAGGGAGGTAAAAGAGTTGTGTTTTTCTCTTTTTTTTCCATACCCCGGACGCCTGCAGCTTGCAATGCCCTTCACTTACACCTTCCCGGTGCTACTTCACCTTACCATCGGGACCGCATTAAGTCCACGAATCCTGATGAATGGATTTTCTTCTACCGTACTTGTACAGCGTCGTCCTTAATGCTTTCATGCGGTCGCTGCATATGGCAGGGACGCGGCCATTGCCATTTTTGAGCTCCCCCCACCATGTGCGGCAACCACAGATTCTCCAGTCCGATTGGAAGATTCAGTACCCGCTCTATAAGACAACTCCTGCATATAAGACGACTCCATTATATAAGACTACTCCCGCGTATAAGACGACCCCATGTATGAGATGACCCCCATGTATAAGATGACCCCTGAGTTTTGAGAAGATTTTCTTGGGTTAAAAAGTAGTCTTATATACCAGAATATATGGTAGTTGTTTATTATTTATTCAAAGATTTATATCCCAACCTGTCATAAGATCTCCAGGCAATGAATAATAAAATCAGTTCAAACCATTCAAAATTTAAAACACTAAATGAAATTTGATAAACTACCTAAACATTCTAAAAATAAAATTAAACAATTTTGGGATCAAAAATGTTCGAGATTTTAAATCATGGAGGTGTACAGATTTGGTTGAAATCATTAGGGGCTTTTTGCATAGGTTCTACAAGCTGTTCTGGTCAGCAATTTATCTGCTGCATTTTACAGTAACATAGCTTCTGAGCTGTCTTTGATGGCAGGCCCATGAAGAATGCATCGCAGTAGAACTGCAAAATAACTATTGGCTTGTTCAATTACAGCTGATTACACGTCCCAACAAAAAAACCCTCTTGGTGTCTTTTTTTTTTTTTAGTCCGTTCCTGGGTTTATTGGGGGTGCCAATTCAGAATATTGGATTGGATAGACTGTATCAGATCTAATTCTTTAAATATGGTGATAATGATTTTCTATACGTGAGTAGATGGTGACTGGTATATGGTATATATTCTGTTTCTCAAAAACTAGAGGTGATAGGGGAAAACAGAGGAAACAGAAATAACATCTGAAGCACCAAAATGTGTGCTGGACAGTGAATTATTGGCCAAGCTATGCAAAGTATTAACACAGCATCTTAGAAGGAAATTAATCCTTTTATGTGGACAGCAGAGTACCAGATAGTAAGGAAAAAGTGAAACCCTGGACTGGCAAATTCTACAAGCCAAACAGTAATATGGGGCTGAGTGTCATTTAACCAAGGCAAGGCACTGTATCAGGACAAAAGCAAAGTTTCCAGAAGTGGAAGTGTACAAACCAGAAAAGTGGCTGCCTGGAAATTTTGGCAATTTTGATCTAACAATGCCAGAGGACACAAGATAAAGAATCACTACTATACCAAGAACACAAGAGTCATAGTCCTATATCCCCTCACCTTACCTTGGCTTGGAGTCTGCCACCCAAGGTGGACCTGGCATGATAGATTACAATGAGAACATCTCCTTGGACTGTTATGCCTAATGGAATTACTGCTTTTCCATCTTCTATTTTAAAATCCCTACGAGGGAGGAAAAAAACATGCATATTATGTACCTTTCCCCCAATATTATGAGATGTGAGGATAGTGATCTAATTTTAAGGCACTATTTATGCTGGAGCGTGGGGGCAGAGAAAAATTATTTGAAAGAATGTAGTTTTCCTGTACCATGTTTTGGAGTAGAAAATACATTTTATGCAGAAAAAGAAATATCCTTTGCATAGAAGCCAATGCAGCCCCATGTGTTGTTTTTCTGCATATGAATCAGTGCAAATAAATTTTCCCCAATAGAGTGTCTCATAGCCACTCTCTTTTTTCTATAAGAATATCACAATGTCAAGGCACACTATTTTCATTAAGTATGCAAATATTAACCATCTTATCCCTGTTTTTTGTTTGTTTTCTTTTTTCTGAGTCTACCCTGGGTATATTTTTCTTGAAATGCAGGATAGAAATATTTAAAGTATAACCCATTTTGGTAGGCTGTGTCTGATAAAGAGGGCTGTCACTGAAGAAAATGCAAGTCACAACAAACAATTGTTAAGACTATACAGTGTTATTAAAGCTTTTGTTGTCTGTTTTTCCTGGAAAAAAACCAATATGAGAAAATACTTGATTACTCGTATTCTGTTTTTCATTTTGACGTTAATTTCTCTATTGATATAAGTTTACAGTTATTATTTTGTATTATTTTGCACTTTTGAGGTGTCTGTATTCGCTTATGGGAATTGAATGTTTGCCTTTTTTGTGTGTAAACCGCCCTGAGTCCCCTCAAGGAGAGAGGGCGGTTTATAAATAAAGTTTTATTTATATATGTGGTATTACAGTAGAATCTTATTTATCCAACCTTCACTCATTCAACATTCTGTACTATCCAATGCAGTCTGCCTCCCACGCGGATCCACAGCTGTTTCGATATATTGCAATGTTTTGGTGCTAAATTCGCAAATACAGTAATTACTACATAATGTTACCGTATTGAACTGCTTTTTCTGTCGATTTGTTGTAAAACATGATGTTTTGGTGCTTAATTTGTAAAGTCATAATGTAATTTGATGTTTAACAGGCTTTTCCTTGATCCCTCCTTATTATCCAACATTTAATGCATTTGTTGACCGCCGCTCTCAGCCCTAGGGCGACTCGTTTTCACTTATCCAACATTCTGCCAGTCCGTTTATGTTGGATAAGCGAAACTCAACTGTATTATATATACTGAGTTGTGTGGGACTTTTGGGGGGGGGGTAGCGCACTTGGGAGTTGGTACATAGATGCTTACCCTTCCTTTATGTTTCCAACTTACTTCATTTTATCATATTCTTGTGAGGTAGTGGCTACTCTTTCATCCCCAACATAAACTTCACAGAAGGGGCGGCAGCCATTGCGCTGCTTGCTGAAAAGAGGGACTGGTGTCATGACAATAGACTTTATGAGGATTGGCTTGCTGTGAGGAATAATAGGTTCTTCCGCCATCATGTCACACATGTACTCTATATATCTATGGAAAAAATAAGAGTGTACTGTCAAAAAAGCTAGACGCATCATCATAGCAACACACTTGTGTCAACTGCACACAATATTGTAAATCAATCTATATAGAAGTTAATAATTCATACAAATATTTTTCATATTACTCATTTATTTTTAATTCTATTTCAATGTTTATATGTTTTTGATTTTAAGTGGTGCATTTTTATTTTTTACATTGTTAGCTACTTTGAGCCTCTCTGGAGAATGAAGAAGCAGGATAGAAATAATAATATAAACATTTTTATTTTGTTTTTTAGCATTATTAGCTGCTTTGAGACACTTTTGAGGTAGAAAAAGTGGGATGTAAATAACAATAGTAATAGTAATAGTAATAATAATCATCATCATCATTTACTTTTCTCCCGCTTTTCTCCCACAAATGGGACTCAAAGTGGCATCCCAAAGAAGACAACTACATAATACAAAACCCTCATCCCACAACCCAACATATAGACAATAAATCAGCACAATATATAAAACCCAAAATACATAAATATAAATAGGCATAAAAATAACATATATATCATTATCAATTTCAAAACTCTACACCGCCCACTGAGGTTATCCTAACACATTAAAACATAAGTTGAACAGTGCAGAGCTCCATAACTCTGGCCATATGAACCTAGAGCCTTATCTGACCTAGTGACTAGTCTTGTGTGTTATCTGGGAAGGCCTGTTTCCATAAGAAGGTCTTCACTTGGGAGCAAAAGGCCAATAATGAGGGGGCTGAAGCCATGGGGCCACAATCGAAAAGGCCCTCTCCCTCGTTCTCACCAAGCATACTTGTGATGGTGGAGGGATTGAGACTCAGGGCTCATGTGGGATGATAGGAGGAGATGTGGACCCTCAAATAGGCTTGGCCCAAACTGTTTTGCACTTTATAGGCCAAAGCCAGCACCTTGAATTGCGCCCAGAAACAAACTGCAAGCCAGTGTCGCTGTTTCAGGAGCAGGGTAGTTCTTTCTAACCACATGCCTGCTACATATCCACACTAAGCGCTTGTCCCATAAAATCCAATACCTTCAAACCAGTTATCTGCCAATTTGCAAAAGCTCCTCTGCTTTCTAGCTTGGAAGCTTCACTGGCCTCAAGCTCAAACAAAATAGTCTATCAGCCTGTCTTACAGAAGTAAAGTTCATATTAAGGAATAACTGGCTTTTTGCAAAGGTGGTAGAGTGTTACAACGTGAATAATTTGCTACCACTCTGAAGCATAATGCAATCAGTTCAGGTAAGTAGATGATGACCCTTGTTTCCTATTCTCCAGAGCAGGAATAAGGGACCTTTCACTATCCAAAGATTTGAACTCACAGCAACTCCAGCCATCCTGGTCAAGAGTAAGCATTTGCAACAGTGTAATCAAAAACATATGGAGGGATAAAGGTTGCCCAGCCTGGCTCTATGATGTACGCCATCCACTTCCAACCCTATGTTTGGCCCAGAAATGCTTGCACAGATACTATACCTCTTATGTGATGGCCAGATACCCGGTGGGCAGCGCTTCATGCTAAACATATAGACAGCAGCTTCAGCAGTAGTGAATAGACGGCAGAAACATAAAAAGGAACAAACGACAACAGCTGATGCTGCTCTTCCATCCTAGAAAGAGGGGCAGGGAAGAAGGAATAATTTTAAGATTGTCTCAACAAAAACAGGACAAAGTTATTTGTACAAACAAGTTATTTGTACAAGTTACAAACAAGATATATATATATATATATATATATGGATTAGCTTTGGATAGCATAGAGAAGAGTTAATATCCCTGTGGTGTTTGTTTTGCTATCTGTGCCCCTGTTCAGAAGATTTCACCTCACTTTCTGTCTCTGGGAGAATTGGATTTTGAAAAATTTGGCTTGTTGTGGAAACAAGGATTGATTTTTATTTATCGTGTCATCAGCAACCATTGTATTACAATTCTAACAGAGCAAAACAACACAGAGATTAAAAAGAAAAAGAAAAAAAAGAAAAAGAAAAAAACCACACAGATTGATGATAAAGCTTCAGGTGAGATACTTTTTTCCGATGATAACTCTTTCAGGAATGAATTTCCATTCTAAAGGGTAGACTCCTCTTAGTATCATAGAATCATAGAATCAAAGAGTTGGAAGAGACCTCATGGGCCATCCAGTCCAACCCCCTGCCAAGAAGCAGGAATATTGCATTCAAATCAACCCTGACAGATGGCCATCTGCTTCCTGTTGTCTCATCCCCGTTCTTAGCTATGAGTAGGATGTTTGTAACTCAGGGACTGCCTGTATTGATTTAGAAATACTACTAAGTATCCCAACTGGTACCTTGAAAATAACTCCATCTGTAATCTCCACAATTTAATGTAGCAATTAAAAATCCCTCATATTTATTACTGAGGTCATGACAGTAACAAAAATATCTTAGCCTGGAGAAGAAAAATACCTAAAAATTTCAGTATTATGGATAGGAAAGGTTCTCTCCACTTCTTCCATAAAAGGTAAAGGTAAAGGTTCCCCTAGTCGTGTCTGACTCTAGGAGGTGGTGCTCATCTCCATTCCTAAGCCAAAGAGCCACTGTTATCCGTAGACACCTCCAAGGTCATGTGGCTAGCATGACTTCATGGAGCGTCATTACCTTCCTGTCAAAGCGATACCTATTGATCTTCTCACATTTACATGTTTTCAAACTGCTAGGTTGGCAGAAGCTGAGGCTAACAGTGGGAGGTCACTCAGCTCCCGTGATTCAAACCATTGACCTTTCAGTTAGCAAGTTCAGCAGCTCAGTGGTTTAACCCACCGTGCCACTGGAGGCTCCACTTCTTCCATATCACACATAATTTCTTATCTCTCTTTTTCTGAAACACATAAGTCTTTGCTCATCTGAAAGGTGTTCTAGCCTCTTGATCTGACCTTTTCTATATCTTTTTCAACTCTGCAGCAACTTTTGTGAAATCAAGAAACTAGAATTGTATACACTAACTCACTGATTAGTTTGCCATAATTTTGTATATAATACTGGCCACTGAATTCACAATCTCTGTCCTTACAAAATGGAGTTTTCACTACTTTACAAAAATGTAAATGCTACAGATATTTCCTCTTAGATGTTTTTGACACAGGATGACTCACCTTTATAATAAAGGTTTCTCTATTCTACATTTTTTTAAAAACTGAGAAAAAACCCTCAAGGCTTTTGTGTGTTCCTCTCCAGTCCTATCATCATTTAAATCAGAGATGGAAAACCTATAGTCACCAGTATAATTTTGAAAAATGTCTGCAACTGAATCAGTACAGATGGTTTCCAAAATAAATCTACCTTTCTGCTCCTTAACATCCCACACTCTCTTTCGGTCCAGGTCTCACAATACGACTAAATTCTGGCATATGGTCTGCATGCAACCCCCAATAAATAAACAGGGTCCCCAAACAAAAGTAAAAGGTATCTGAGTTCTACTTGTAAGTGTTTGGTCTGTCGTATCTCTGTTAGATTTATTGTCCTCAATCCACTGCAGCTTTGTTGTTGTTGTTTATTCGTTTAGTCACATCTGACTCTTCGTGACCTCATGGACCAGCCCACCTAGAGCTCCCTGTAGGCCGTCACCACCCTCAGTTTCTTCAGTCAAGCCAGTCACTACAAGGATACCATCCATCCATCTTGCCCTTGGTCGGCCCCTCTTCCTTTTTCCTTCCATTTCCCCAGCATCATTGTCTTCTCTCAGCTTTCTTCTCATGATGTGGCCAAAGTACTTCATCTTTGCCTCTAATATCCTTCCCTCCAATGAGCAGTCGGGCCTTATTTCCTGAAGTATGGACTGGTTGGATCTTCTCGCAGTCCAAGGCACTCTCAGAGCTTTCCTCCAACACCACAGTTCAAAAGCGTCTATCTTCCTTCACTCAGCCTTCCCTGCTCATTGGATGGAAGGATAGTAGAGGCAAAGTGAAGTACTTTGGCCACATCATGAGGAGAGGAAAGCTTAGAGAGACAATTATGCTGGGGAAATGGAAGGAAAAAGGAAGAGGCAAGATGGATGGATGGATGGATGGCATCCTTGAAGTGACTGGACTGACCTGAAGGAGCTCGGGGTGGTGATAGCCGACAGGGAGCTTTGGCGTGGGCTGGTCCATGAGGTCACGAAGAGTCAGAATGACTGAATGAACAACAACAACAATTTCCTGAAGTATGGACTGGTTGGATCTTCTTGTGATCCAAGGTACTCTCAGAACTTTCCTCCAGCACCACAGTTCAAAAGCATCTATCATCCTTCACTCAGCCTTCCTTATGGTCCAGTTCTCACATCCATAAGTTACTACAGGGAATACCATTGATTTAACTATGTGGATCTTCATTGCCCACTGCAGCTACTCATGCACAATTTTAATGAAATCAGCGTTTCTTTTTGCTCAATAGGTATAGCAAGCTACTTACAAGGCAGTGCACAATGCAAACATTCTTTGGGTCTTGTTTCAGCCATAAATGCATGTTCTTGCAAATGCTGTACAGATTTTGAAGATTGGGTGCGCGTCTTGCTGGCCAGCCACATTCGGACACCTGTTAGAAGGAAAATATTATAAATTTTGATTTCTCCTTCTTACATAGCAGGAAAAGAGTGGCAATTTCAAGCACATTCCTTACCTAAAAGCAAGTGCAGTCGACCCTCCACATATGTAGGTCTGACTTTTGTAGATCTGAATAAAAAAATTATTTCTAGGAATCTCAGGGCCCTTCCACATAGGTATCTAACCCAGAATATCAAGGCAGGAAATCCCACAATATCTGCTTTGAACTGGAATATATGTCAGCATGGACTCAGATAACCTAGTTCAAACAGATATTGTGGTATTTTGTTCTGTGTTTTTGGTTTTATTTTGTTGTAATGGACTACTCGGCTTGGCCTCATGTAAGCCACCCCGAGTCCCCTTTGGAGAGATGGTGGCGGGGTATAAATAAAGGTGGTTATTATTATTATTATTATTATTATTATTATTATTATTATTATTATTATTTTCTGTCTTGATAGTCTGGGTTAGATGGTTGTGTGGAAGGGCCCTTAGTCTCCTCCAATATGACTCTTTGGTCAACTTCCCCCTGAAGTTGACCACATATTCATGTTGGAGGATCTAGAGAGTCTTAAAGAGAACAGCTCTTGAGGAATGTCTAGGTTCACAAAGTCTTGTTAGAGGATTTTCCTAGAGAGGAGTTCTCTCAGTGCTCTTCCACACAGCCCTATATCCAAGAGTATCAAGGCAGAAAATCCCAAAATATCTGATTTGAACTGGGTTATCTGAGTCCACACTGCCATATATTCCAGTTCAAAGCAGATATTGTGGGATTTTCTGCTTTGATATTCTGGGATACAGGGCTATGCGGAGGGGCCCTTTGATTTTTAAAAAAGCAGTGCTTTTTTATTTGCATTTTTTCACTTTTACAGGGGTCTTGTGCTCCTAACTCTAATAAATTAAGAGAACTAACTGTACAGCAAAGACATGATTTCAATATTCATAGTGTGAGAAATCTATTGTCCTTCATATCTTTCAGGCTACAACTCTATAACACCACCCACAAATGTCAGTGTGCTCTTTTGTGAGAATGTCATAACAAGATATCTAGAGTGGTTCTGTATAGCTTCCAAGCAAAAATACACATTTAGCAATGCAAAACTCCTGCATCATCTTGTTGAGCAACACATTTTCCTTCAAAACTTTGCACAATCTATACAAATATTATACAAGATAATTTCTTCAAGACCCTTTAAAGTGGATAATGTGAGAATGAAGAAGCATCCATGAATGACCAGCACTCTAAGGGGTGTTTGTATTCCTGCAAAAATACCCAGAAGCAGAGAAGACAACTATATCTGAAATACTGTGCACTATTTCAAAATCTGAGCTTTCAGTTATAGTTTGCAAAACACCGTAACAAGTAGCTCAACACTTTAACAAGTCTGTGATAACCTGACATCTGTTTCATGGCATTCAGGCCATAGTTTCTGAAGGTGCTAGGCTAACCATATTGAATTTCTGCCCAACTCCAGACATCAATATAATTTAACATCAAAAACATAGGAACATTTAGATTAAAATGTAACACTGGCACTGATTTGTTTTATATAAAATGACTTCAGTTCTAAAGGTTTTTCAAAGCTGCTGAAAATCCATTTCCAGACACCTTCAGAAATTGAAACCTGAAAGTATCCTATATTGCAAGAAAGGAGCATGTGATAACATAATATTCTGTCACACTGTTACCCTTCCTTTCTGTCAAGGATCTCAAGGTTATTTTTTATAAGAATCATATAAGAAAAACACTAAATCTGTTAGTTGTTCATGTAACTATGATAGTGGAGCTCTCCCATCTAGATTGAATCATGAGTTTTGGATTTGCATTCTAGTGCTTCTGCTGCATTTTGATTTTTGTATCATGTATTTTGGTGTATGTTTTGTTGCATTTGTTGGAAATACCAACCTTCTACAAGCCTCCTATACTAGTTGTTTGTTGTGTATATAATTCAAATTGCTTACTATATTGTATATGTGCATATTGGGATGCAGTTTTCCCTTAACTTTATGTTGTTTGAGGTTGTGGGAGGGACTACAGACCATGTGACCATATCTGGGACTATACAGACTGAGACTCCATTTTAGATGTCAGTATTCTGTTGTATTGTATTATATTGTATAGTCAGTGTTTGTGTTATGTTTTAGACATAAGACAGAGAAGAGGCTGCATCAGAATGACTTTTATAACTTACTGTTTAAACTTTCAACTGATAAACAATGTATTTGTATTACTGAATACATGAAGTTTGTAAGCAGACCAACTATGTTATTTTTAATGAAGACTACTTATTTTTGTCTTGAGTGCATGACGGAAAACCAAATATATTTCAAGGGAGAGTAGGAGTTTTGTTTTGGCAATTGAAATAACACTTTTGAAGATCTGCTATACATTTTGTGTATTGGCATCTTTGTTCCTAACAGTTCAAAGAGATAACTAGGTATATCAGTCTAACAACAGAAACTGGTCAAAGGACATTTAATCAACTACCAAGCTTGCAAACTTTGTGTTTTGTCTGTCTGTTTGTTTGTTTTGTTAAAAATGTAATACAAATGTCTGGTTGCTCCTGACACGATAAATAAATAATGGAAACCTATTTTGCCTTGTATGAATACAGGTGGATATATACCACTAACAAGAAGATTCACTCAAACGAGTATTTAGCTCTTCTCAGGAAGATCATACTTTACAAAAAGGTTACGATCATGCCAAATAGTATGAATACCAATTAATCTCCATAAGGTCACATTTCCAAAAGACTATGGAGACTCTGGTTTTCCAAAAGGTTATGATTTTAAAGGTCATCCTTTTCCCAAAAGTATTTACAGTGATGTATTCTGACAACGGTATGTTGTTAAATGTATTTTTATGTCTACGTGTTTTGATTGTGTGGGTAACAAAGGTACTTCTATTTCACTGAACACAACACAAAATTGTATTATAACACAGAAGAGCATAGTGTGCAATTATTACTACCATTCTAAAGTGCCAAAGAGCCTTTCTGGTTCAGACCCATTTAATTTGGCATCCCATTGCCAACTAGAGCCAGCTGAACCTCAGAAGCATGGTATAAAAGCAAAAGCATCCCCTCCTATATTTTAAGGACTCTAAGATGTAGCATAATGTCTGAAGACCAAGACCAATGTTGGGTGTGAAAACTGCCTTTAATTAATTTTCCAAAGCTATGAACTTCTTATCCAATGGAAGAAAAATAAAGAATGGATGTCACTTTGAGGCATTATAGACATTTGGAAAGATTACTATGGGCTGGTTGTGCAATCCAAGTTAGTCTTGGTGGAGGGAAACCAAGCGACCTGATTCCTACACCTTTTTATAACTCTTACAATTTCAGATTATTCAATGATGCATCAGGTTCATGCTGACTCTCACCCCCCACCCCCAACAAATAGATCAACAAACTATGCAAACAAACAGCGGAAAAGCAATAAAGGCTTACAAACCCGATTGTGAAATCTTGAAGGCCTATATGTTCTTGGAGACAGATTGTAGACAGCATAGCGGCCGGGATGTTTAGAGTCCAAGAATAATCGCACGTCTTCAATGTTATTCTTTATGGCAGACTCAACACCTTCTGCTGGAAAGGACATTACTGGGGGTCGAGGTGGAGAGGAAGAGAAAAGGAAAGACAATTATTAGTATTATTATCCCCTTCTTTTTCTCTATTTCTATCCTGCCTCTATCCCCATAGGGACTCAAGGTGGTGAACAATAACAATAAGAATAACAATAACTGCCCTGAGTCCCTTTGGGGAGATAGGGAGGTCTACAAATAAATTATTATTATTATTATTATTATTATTATTATTATTATTATTAACATGACACAACCAAGTGGAAATGTAAACCAGTCAAATACAAACCCCCCCCCCCCCCCCAAATTGCATATTTATGTCATGGATATAAAGTTAAAATATAGTTAAATACAATAAATATAATTAAAATTATATTTAAATTTCACTATCCCTCCAAAATCCCACCCAAAACCTCATCATACAGCAGCCAGCCCCTCATCATCCCCCAAAGGCCTGGCAAAACCTGCTTGCCAAAGGCCAGCAAGGATGAGGCCCCCTTTGTCTCTCCACAGTCTGGGAGCAGCCACCGAAAAGGCCCTCTCCCTTGTTCCCACAAAATGCACTTGTGTGGGTGGTAGGACAGAGAGAACACCATCCCCAGTTGATTGAAGATGTTTGACAGGTTCATAAAGAGATATAAGGTTCTTCAAATAACCTGGATCTAAGTTGGTTAAGGCTTAAGTCCAGGTCAAAGTCTTTGCTAAGGATGTGTGATTTTAGAATATGTGATTTTAGAAACTGTGGCCTTACCAGCAATTCTGGAGGTGATATATGATATATCCAGATCTCCTTTTGCATAACTGAAAAATAGAAAGATAAATATTTGATAAAAATAAACAAAATAAAACTTTGTTCAACATCTGCCAAAAGGATTATTAATTCAGGAAATACCTTGCTACATTCTATCATCTTCCTTCTTTCTTTTTGCTTTGTTTTATTTTTTGTTTACCAGTACATTCAATCATCTTCCTAACCTTTCCGATAGGAATAATGCTGGTTACTCTTTTCTCTTAGCCTAGATTCTTTCTCCAACATCTGTCTCAAACTAGGACAGTACCTAAAACACGTTGAATAACTGTAAAGATGAACATGAGCCAGTTATCTGGAAGTGTTCTGCCTCTTGGGCAGAATGGAGAGAACAACACCAGTCATCCAAAAGCTGAATCGTTTCTGATTACCTAACACTGCAGGCTTTGCAAAAAAAAAAAAATCACAAAAGCTGGGATTGCAGGGAAAGTCTTCTCAATGGCCTGCATGAAGGAATTTGGGAGATTAAAAGCTTACATTCTTTAAAAAGCCATGCAGCACTTGCAAAGGCTTCTAGCAAGAGGGAAGTGAAAGAGGCTTCTTTGGGTGAAGTGGAGCAAAACATAGGCTGCACTCTCTGCTTGAAATGCTAAACCCTCGGTCTTGCCAAGAGTAAATGGCAAAGGTTGAATCATTAGTTGAACTCCTTGAGCAAACTGGGAATCAAAAGCCATAGGACGCCTTGTGAAGAATCATTTGCAGCCCTGCCACAAAGATACCCCTCGCTGTTAGCTTTTGTACTGCAAATATCAGCAAATATGCTGCAACAGACAGTCAGCAAGCTGAGGATATTCTATTGCTAAAGCCAAATTGCAGGATGGGATGAATGTTGTTTCACCACTATCAATACCAAGACAACAATCTATGCTAAATCAGTATAGTATCTGGCAAAGAATGAACTGAGCAGGTTGTGTGTGCGTGCGCACGCGTGTGTGTACATATAGTTAAACGTTTCCCCTGACATTAAATCTAATCGAGTCTGCCTCTGGGTGGTGGTGCTCATCTCCATTTCTAAGCTGAAGAGCCAGCATCATCCACAGACACCTCCAAGATCATGTGGCTGGCATAACTGCATGGAGCACCATTACCTTATCACCAAAATGGTACCTATTGATCTACTCACATTTGCATATTTTCAAACTGCTAGGTTGGCAGAAACTGGGCCTAACAGTGGGAGCTCACCCCGCTCCATGGATTTGAACCGCTGACTGTTTAGTCAGCAAGTTCAGCAGCTCAGTGGTTTAACCCACTGCGCTACCGGGGCACCCTATATATAGGACTGTATACTGATTTGTTGGAAACCGCCTTGAGTTGCCAATTGGCTGAGAAAGGCGGTGTACAAATACAGTAAATAAATAAATAAATAAATTGTCCTTGCCAGTATTTTAAATGAGAACTCTTGTAATCCCTTTCCACTGCCCCTTGTGGCTGGGCTTTCTGAGAGTTGTGCCCCAAACCACGAAAAAACAAAGGCTAATTTTGTCCCCAGTTATTTATAAGTATACAGAAAAGAAGCAAAACAGAGCCATCATTTTGCATAACTTATTCTGCTTTTGGAAGACTGGAAATGAAACAAGAGGCTATCAATGTCCTGTGGTTCCACCTATCCCATTCCTCTTTTTTATTAAATATTTCACTAGGTATTATCTACAAGTTTTCAAATGTACCTTGGTGAACATAAGAGCATAAAACAAATGCATTTGAGGCACCCATGAAATAGATACAGCCTGGTGAGGTATATCTTCATGAAGGTGCGACTTGAAGTTATCTTCCCAGAAAAATTAATAGGTTTTCAGAGTAGTGAACATATCTGAAAGGATCGCTATAGAAGAACCAAGCTCTGTTAAATCAAAGGCAAAAAAGAAAGAATCTCTTTAAAAGCTGACTATATTTAATGGCAGGGATTTGCACATAAAGAAATTCACAAAATCCAGAGTAGAAGATAATTAACCAGTATAATATAAAGGTAGACAGTAAAAAGATGTAAGATGAACTACACAGAAACAGGTGAAATTAGATGAACACAGATGTCATTTAGATTCTTTAGAAGGAGTGAGTACATTTACAGTGGGAAAGTCAGAAAGAACACTATTAATGAAATGATGTAAAGAACTTAAAACACAATATTTCAACCTATCACCACTTTTAAAACTATCATTAATTAGCTATTTTAAAACACTGGTTTTAGAATTTATGCTACAGCCAAACTACGGAGAAGCTTTTATTGTGTTTTTCCTGCATCTAGAATGAGCAAGTTCTACTCTCTTCCTTTAACAAAAACCCAAAAAGCCAAGGTTTCATCTCATTAGCAGTTCAACTTCAAGGCAAAGAAATATATTGTTTTACAGAATCCTTCCTGGCCTATAGATTTTAAGTCTAACAGTAGTGAAATTAAGGGGGAGGGGGTTGTATTCTAGAAGAAAAACTCCCAAAATATAGACAATTAATCTATATAGAAAGATAATTCTAGCCTAGTCCTTTTCCAAATGTACAGGGAACGTTGCACAGAAGAAGTGTTCCATAATATCAACTCCTTCATCCTTTCTTCACTTGCAGTCTTAAGGGTGCTGACTGCATAGACCACCTGGGCTCCTTTTATAATATAGTTATAACACTATGATTCCATTATAATTGCCATTGCCAACATCTTATGGCAAACATCCTAGGAACTTGGAATTCACAACAAGAGAACTCCAGGACCTCATCAAACTACAAATCCCGGGGTTCCACAGGAATGGAATTACAGTGCTAGTGTCAAGTGACCTTAGGTCAGACCAAGTTTTCTCTTTCACTACTCTTTCTTGCTTAATACATTACAACTGATTTAGTCTGCTGTTTTCTCCAAATCTGATGTAATGTTTCGAACAAGAATGGGTTTCTGACAAGATTTCCATTCTGCTGTCAATTTGATAAATGCAGTTGATTTTTCACACATCTTCAGAAAGGACCAAAATCCTTTGTAGGCTCATTATTTAAGCAATCCATGTAGCTGCCATCTTATAGAGATTAATTGACAATACCTCACACCAATTTGATCTCCAAGATTCAAGTTAATGAAACCTTTAATATAAATGGCTTCGGAGTACACATCAAAGTTCATGCCTCTCTGAAATCTTATAATCTGAAGTACTGAACTGACAGCACATGTACACATCCAGGTTAAGAAAACCTTCTTGAGTATGCCCCATTCCGGTAAAGTGCAAAGCAGTGACTATTCAGATGCCAAAATCATCCCTGGCAACAGCATGGTTCCAAGGCAGTGTGATAATGTTATAAAGTGTCAATGGATGGCAAAATAGTTGTCTAGACCAGCGGTTCCCAAATGTTTTCGGCCATCGAACCCTTTAGAAGATATTTCTTTTCAGCAGAACTCTAACTCTTATTCCTGATTTGTTTAATCAAAAATATGTTCTCAATCATTTTATGCGAATTAAAATATGTTTCCCAATTTCTTATATAACGTCTCGTTTTTGAGTAAATTTTACTCTGATATTTTATGAATAATATCCCAATATGCCAGAAATCTTTCATCTCAAAAGCTGTACAAAAAAAAAAAAGATTTTAAAAGAAATTTGCAATCAATATTGGCAGCCAGGTTACTAACTGGAGCTCTGTACAGGGAGAGAACCACTCCCATGTTACTGCAGCTCCACTGGTTGCCAGTGCATTTCCGAGCTAAATACAAAGTGCTGGTCGTTACCTATAAAGATCTAAATGGTTCAGGCCCAGACTATTTGTCCAATCGCATTTCCCTATATAGACCATCTCATGCTCTTTGGTCAGCGGAAGAGGCCCTGCTCTCAGTCCCACAGTTTGTGGGAATGAGAGGGGGGCCTTCTCTGTACTCTCTCCCTGCCTCTGAAGCTCCCTCCCTAAACAAATAAAAATATGTCCCCCACACCATTGGCTCCTTCAAAAAACTGTTAAAAACACATCTATGTACTTTAGCGTATGGAGAGGTAGAGGATTAACACAAGCTGTATTTTATAGCTGCTATGGTCTATGTTGATTTACAACTAATGCTCGACACCTTCTGCAGTTTGGTCATTTAAATTGGCCCAAGTATACACTTTGTGTAATCATGTTTAATTGGTTTAAATGTTATCCTTTAAATTTATTTTTTTTTCATCTGAACTTTTTATTGTAATAAGTCTGTTAATATTATCTCTCATTTTTTGATAATGTGATGTAATTATGGCACTGAATGCTTGCTTTTTTATATGCATGTAAAGTGCCCTGAGTCCCCTGAGGGAGAGAAGGCAGTCTAGAAATAAAGATTATTATTATTATGAAAAACCAACTACATGTGAATCCCTCTTGTAAAATGTCAAAATTTGTAGCCAGTAACGAAATACCAGAGAGAAATCGTTGTAGCGCAAATAGCTATTACCAAGACTGTAAATCAAACAATTGGTCCAATGCAGTTTTATTTTAAAATCCATTATAAATCTGCTTTTTAAGATTTTTCATAGAACCTCTACAATGTCTTTGGGGAACCCCAAGGTTTCGCAGAACAGTTTGGAAACTACTGGTCTAGATAAGCACTTCTAAAACTGTGGCAAACATTTTCAGAACGTTTTCTGATATTGCAAATAAATAGCTAAGGAGATGATAATACCGTATGTCAACTAATATAAAGAGCTCTATGTGGGAGCAAGTCCTAATTTATTTCAATATGATACTATAAGAAGTGAATATTTTGGAACACAAGTTATTTGAATTTCACATTTTCTAAGTAAAGCTTCGGCTGCAATCTCATTCCATACATACCACTAAGAAATATATCACTTTCCTGACTCTTAACATAGTCCTCTTTACAGTAAAAATATATGTATATTGTTCCCAATTTACTTTCCTCACATTTTGCTTTTTATCAGGAGGAGAGAAAAGGTAATAGAAAATATAAAAGATATAGCAATTCAGTTAATACAGAAGCTCTGAAGTTATACATATGTCAGGACTACTACACTAAGATTTGATCTTTAAGAATATT